TAAGTTTAGCGTCCTTCTTTTAGATAGGTAGTAAAGAAGGTCCCGCTATTAGTTTAGTTGTCGGGGCTTCCTAAAGGCGACGGAGCTCGAGGAGATTATCCTTTAGCTATTATTCTTAACGTAGGGCAGTAAGCCTGTTTTAAGTAGCTTCTTAAAGTCTCCCTAGTAGTTGAGGGCTAAAGGCTAGTTAGCTATATCGTCGATTAACAATGTTATTAAGAATATCGTTAATAGGCAACTCTAGGTCGTTACCTAGAATTATAGGTTCTTCGGCAGGCCTAGTAGTAGGCTCTTTAGTAGGAGGCACTTTAGTAGGTGCTTTAGTAGGCACTTTAGTAGGTACTATACTACTAGCGTTGTCGTTGCTAGCGCTACTAGCGGCAGCACGGTTGTTATTGCTTCGTAATAAGCCGGCTATTGTAATAGGGGGTAACACTAATAATGTATTATAGGCCCCTAAGATACGGATGTAGCGGAATTAGTAGATATCGGCTTAGTGCAATTAATTTAGTATAATAGGCCGTATAGAAGGCCTTGCTTAATAATTAGTACGGTTGTTTCGATAGAATAGTACGTATAGGTCCCGTTCTTTAGGCGCAATATAGTTAGATTAGTCTTGTTCGTAGCTATACCGCTAAAAGCTTGAAATAAGAACTATCTAGCTGCTACCCTTAAAGGGTAGATCGAATACTATATAAGAAGGGTTATATTAGTAGGTAGATAGGGTAGTAGTAGGTACAGGTAGTATTCGATAGAGAACTAGGAGGAGAAGGAGGAAGGCAGGCTAGTTAGCCTACTACTAAGCGCTAAGCCCTACCTAAGGCATCGAGACCCTAGCTTTACTCGAGCCCGGTTACATACTAATTACGTATAACCTCTTTAGTCCTAACAGATATCTAGATAGAGTCGGTCTTAGGTAGCAAGTCGTCCTTAAGGGTCTTTAGGTAGGCCTCGAAGGATCGAGAGGTTTAGTCGGCCTTTTGTTTAGTACGTAGGTATTAGTCTTAGGCGTACTACTAGCGCAATATAGGGTTGCTAAGGGTGTTTAGTATAATAGTCTTATAGTCCTGCTATTAAATAGCAGTCTAGTCGTAAAGGGAATCAAAATAGTTATCCTATATACGCTTAGGGTTACCGTTAATATACTATATAGTATAGATAACTAAGGAATAGTTATCTAGTAGCGCTCTCGGTATATTACGCTAGTTAAGCTTACAGTTACGAATATAGTTATTATATTGCTTTCGACTAGAGCTATTAAACATAGTGCAGTCCTTAAGTTTAGCATCCTTCTTCTAGACTAGGACTAATAGTAAGGAAGGCCCTGCTATCGGCTTAGTATTAGTTGTTAGGGCCTCCTAAAGGCAGCGAAGCTCGAGGAGGTTATCCTTTAGCTACTACTCTTAACGTAGGGCAGTAAGCCTGTTTTAAGTAGCTTCTTAAAGTCTCCCTACTAGTTAGGGGCTAAAGGCTAGTTAGCTATATCGTCGATTAATAATGTTATTAAGAATGTCGTTAATAGGCAATTCTAGATTATTACCTAGAACTATAGGTTCTTTAGTAGGCCTAGTAGTAGGCTCTTTAGTAGGTGCTTTAGTAGGCACTTTAGTAGGCACTGTACTAATAACGTTGTCGTTGCTAGCGCTACTAGCGGCGCCGCGATTGTTGTTGCTTCGTAATAAGCCGGCTATTGTAATAAGAGGTAATACTAATAATGTATTATAGGCCCCTATAGTGCGGATATAGCGGAATTAGCGAGTATTGGCCTAATATGCTTAACTTAGTATAATAGGCCGTATAGAAGGCCTTGCTTAGTAATTAGTACGGTTGTCTTAGTAGAATAGTACGTATAGGTCCCGTTCTTCGGGCGTAATATAGTTAAATCGATAGTTTTCGTAGCTATACCGCTAAAAGCTTAAAATAAGGACTATCTAGCTACTGCCTTTAAAGGGTAGATCGAATACTATATAATAGGGGTTATATTAGTAGGTAGATAGGGTAGTAGTAGGTACAAGTAGTATTCGATAGAGAACTAGGAGGAGAAGGAGGAAGGCAGGCTAGTTAGCCTAACGCTAAGCGCTAAGCCCTGCCTAAGGCACTAAGACTCTAGCTTCACTCGGCCTAATTATATACTAATTACGTATAGCCTCTTTAGCCCTAACAGTTTTACTAGTAAATCTAGATATATTAATATAATATAAGGTAAGCTAATACTAATTAGATATTATATTCTTTGCCTATACGAAGATAGGTACCTATATTCCTTCTTATTCTCGAGCCCCTAGAAGGTATATAAATAGGAGGTAGAAGATCCGGATTCTATTACTTCGAGGGTTACTAAGTACCTAGTAGTAACTCTAGAGGTTCTTACGGACGCTAAGAAGAAGGAGCGAGAGAAAGAGAGTAATAAGAAGCGCCGTAAGCGTAAGAACCGTAGTCCTAGTAGTATTAGATATAGTAGGAATACTAGATTGTGTTTAGTTTAGAATATTAGGAAGGAAAGTTATATAAGCGCGGCCTACGCGGACTGCCCTTCTAAACTAACTAAAAGCCTAATCGTATCGCCTACCGTCTCGCTAAGCGCTAAGCTAAGCTCGCTTTAGTAGGCGGTTCTTTAACTAATCCTATAACTTTCCTTTCTATACTACTTTAGTCTTCTTCTATATTTTTATAGATAATCTATTTAATAATATACTATTATTTGTAATCCTACGATACCTTAGTATTATAGCGACTAGAACGGTACGATCTAGCTTACTCTTATAGCTCTAGCGGGGTAAAACCTTAGAAAACTAAGGGAATTTAGTAAAAAAGAATAGTATAAGTTAAAAATCTATATACCTAGGTCTTAATTATAAGACTACCTAGTTCCCTTACGATATACTACTTTATAATGCAATCTATAGTATAGCGGCGGTAATCTAGTAGGGTAGGAATCTCGTCTAATTCCTTAATCCTTATAATAGGCTATCGATCCTTTAAGAGAATATAACGGCTTCGTACCTACCCTCGAGCTAGAAATAACGCCTATATTAATAAGTACGTACGGCTATATTAGAATACCGATAGCAAGTAAGAGATATTACTTCTAGAGGTTGCTGCCCTATATAACGACTATATAGGTAGCGTTAATATTTATAACTAGTTACGCTATTATTGCTTAATATAGTATAAGTTATAGAAAGGTTAGTACCCCTTATTCTGTTTTCTGCTTGATACTTTAGTTATTAACTTATTTATTCTTCTACGAGATAATAAGAAGTAGACTAAAGACTAGTAGTTTACTTACTAACGCGACTCCCGTATAGTACTAGTATAGTAAATAGTTTAACGCGAATAGCGAGAACTTAACAAGGCGGTAGCGGACCTAGCGGTAGAGAGCGCTATAAGGGCTCTTTATACGCTAACTCCGCTACCTCCTCGGAGCCGTAGATAATTTATCTTAGGCTATACCTATAATAGTAGTAGAAGAAGATCTCGGCGCTACTAGATTAGGAGAGGTAATAGCCTACCTATAGCTAAAGAGAAAAGGCGCCTCGAGCGTAGTAGAAAGGCCCTCTACGTAATAAAGCCTCTCTTACCTAAGTAGCGCTATTATCTCTATAAGTATATATAGATAGCCTAGCAATTTAAATTATAGCCTATTAATAAAGCTAGTAAGTATAAGACGACTAAGATATATATCTATTTTAGCCCTATTACTATCTATAAGACCTAGGATATTATATAGTATAACGTACCTAATATCTATGCCTTCTTTAAGTCTTAGGAGCCTAGCTAGTCTTCGACCGCCTTTAGCGATCTACTAATCTCGCTATTACCGCTATATTCGACTCCTATAGGGTATAGGTTAAGCACTAATACTTTAAAAGCGAGGTAATTGTCGCTTCTAACCGACTAACCTAGAGCTAAAGTGCTTTAAACTCTAACCTCTTAATAAATATTACCTTACTTCGAGAGTCTTCTTTAGTAAAGGATATCTTAACTACTAGTAACTCCTTAACCTCCTTCTATAGAAGGTTTATATCTATCCTTAAGTCCCTTACTATCTCTACGAGCCGGTTAACCTTAGCTATAAGTAGACTAATATTAAACTACTTCTTAAGTAGACTTAGCGGTCTAATTAGTACTAGAAGTATATCTTTACTAAGCTTATAGCGACTTAGTTAACGGCGTATATAAGATAGCCGAGACTTAGTTACTAGTAGCTAATTAGTTATTAGAAGGTCTTAGTCTATAGTATATATTACCTATATATCTATCTTAGTAGCGTACTTAGCGCCTCTATTATATATCTTCTTCTATATCTTCTTTTATACCTTCTTATAGACCTTTACTTACTAAGGTTTGCTATAAAACCTTTACTATAGGACGACTCGTAAAGTTATCGGCTTCTTAACCCTAAGCTCTACTACGGCTAAATCCGAGACCTAATTAGACGAGTTCGCTATTCGAGGGGCGATATAGGTTTATATAGGGCTATACTACATTTAGTATCAGAAGTAGAACCCGACAAAGGCAGAGCCAGGGTGGGTATTCGACGGACTTAACTACGGACTTCGTTAAGGGGATCTCGAAACTCGGCGCGAAATTACCTTGAGCATCTTATCGTCATCGGCATCTCGGTCACTCACCTCAGCAACCTGGAACCCGTGCTGCAGGCTTGGGCCCGCTCTTTAAAAGCTGCCGTCTGCTGTTGGTCTCCGTCGGCTAGCTGCTTGCTCGGCCTGATCGCTACCGCTCACGGCCCTACTGATATCGACAGACTTCCTTTCACCATCATGTCCAGATCTCCGAGCTCCTTCTTCAGGTCCAATCGCAGATCGAGAGACGAGGCGACTCGTTCACACACGCATCGAAGGACTACATCTTATGGCGGCGACGGAACGACGCAGACGCCCTCAACATTGCGTGGCCTGGATAGACTGGAAAAGCGAAGGACGATGGAGGAGAGGAACTTTCTGCAATCCAAAGCCCGATGTCAAAATCTCAATCCTCCCGTGGACTTGCGCCTGCTTGACTATGTCGCGCCCTCCGACGAGAACCTGGTCTGTCCCATTTGCCGATGCCCCTTCGTGGACCCGGTAGTGCTCACAGAATGCGACCACTGCTTCTGCCGAGATTGTATTCGCCAAACGTGGACGACTTCATCTGCCTACAATCCGCTGGGCGCACGAGGAGGGGACTGCCCAACATGTCGCACTCCCGCAAAGCTTGCTCCCAGATCTGCCACTAGCAAGATCCTGACCAACATCCTGGACGACCTGTTGGTGAAATGTCCGAATTCCGACGAAGGTTGCACGTCACAACTCAAACGGGGACAAGTTCAAGATCACATCAACATATATTGTGGCTACGCTCTCGTCGAATGCGCGGCACGAGAATGCGAACTGCCGGTCCGACGGAAAGACTCGACTCTCGCATGCTTGCATATCCCGGTCAGCTGCTTGGCTTGTCGAGAGGAAATGCAAAGAGTGCATCTGGAAGTCCACTGGAAACGGAAATGCCCTGACAGACGAGTCGCCTGCAGTCTTTGCAATGCCAACCTGTACTACCGGGAATTGTCGGAACACAATACGAAGCTGTGTCCAGCAGTCAGCATACCTTGTCCTGGAGCCGCACTAGGCTGTGATAGCAGGAATATGAAAGCTCAAACAGATATCCATGCAAAGAAATGCACATTCGCAAAAATGGCTCCCATGTTCGAAATGGTGAAGTCTCGAATGGATGAGCAAGAGGCTGCTCAGCTGCAAATGAACCGCAAGTTGGAAGTGCTCGAGAATGGATTCAGCGCCATGCACGGACTGTTGTTCCCAAAGCTGGACGATCCTGATCAGATCAGCGCCAATCCGAGCTCCATACCTCTGCTCCATGGCCACGGATCTAGCACCATCGACGTGACTTCGATATCGCCTCTCAATGAAGGAGATCCCGTGGAATTACCGGCATCGGAGACGTCTAGCACCATCGATTCTATACTAATCGGCCATCAAACTAGGGATATGCCTAGCGGCCCAGTGCCAGAAGTCCCGGGCCCTCGGCCATCAGACCTGCCAGAACCGTTTAGTCTGGATTTTGAACTCGCATCGCCTTTCCCGCCTCCAGCAATAAACGGTGGTCCGTACGTGTCACCACTTCATCACATGCTCTCCATGCACGAAAGCCTACGGGATGAAATGTCACGAGTGAGCTCAGCGCTACAAGAACTGGATGGCAGGCACTCGATGCAGATCTTGAACGAGAACTTGCGAACACGCGAGGAAATGCAATACATCGGAGCACAGGTTGCAGGCTTGAGCAGGCAGGTGGGCTGGCTTACTTCAACCCAATTGCAGAGGCAGAGCCGGACGGGAACTCCTGCTCCAGGACCTGGCGGTGATATGGCTGCAGCTGGACCAAGCGTCGAGGCTGCGATCAGCTCTGCCGTGAGAGGTGCTGCGCGGATGGTCAACGCTGGGCGTGAAGGCCAGCCGATGAGAAGGGGAACTAGCGAAGAAGGGAGGACGAAGTTATGAAGAGCCTCCTGAGCCTGTTTGGATACTAGCAAGGCATTTAGCCTCGATGACCAGGATAATGCGACGCACGAAAACATTCTGACAGTCACGAACAGAGACCATTTTTCTCAGACATCGATTGAGTTGAGAACTTGCAAGGCGCAACATTTTTTGTTCTGTCACGGGCGATCGAGCACCACCACAGGTATCCAGGTTTTGTTATTAATTGACTCACTCGCTTGTGGGTATGGCCCTCGCCAATGAACCCGGTTCGCGAGCTTACCGCCACAGTATGAGACACGAACCTTTTGATCTCATCTTGGCAGTATCTATACAGCATGATGCAGGCGCTCAAGGCATCACCGATCTTGTCCTGAGAAAGAGCACATAAACGTCGGCATGGTACATCAGCACGTTTTGATCGAAGAAGCCTGCATCTCTTCACCTTTCACTCACACCGAGGAATTTATACAGCACGCTCAGTCGATGACGATGCGAGGTGTATACATACCACTGAAGACGATCGCAGAGCCCGACCGCCTCGAATCTTTACATTTTTGGCTCGGTTCGTGTGCTTGAAACGGTACAAATCTGAAACTGTGCTGAAGTGACCCAGAAAGTCTACACCTCAGCTCTCTGACAGGACTGCGGAGAAATACAGCACGGAGACTGGAATGCTAATGCATCATATTATGCATAGGACCTTTCTTATACTGCTGACTGCCAGGCACTACAGTAGCCATCGTCGTCGCTATTACTTCCATACACTACTGAATCGTGAGATACATACCGGTACTATGTATATATTGGTTGACTCGTCGAGGGTTGGAACACCATTCTTCTCTCCTCTCCCCTTGCGATCAATCCATCTCCATTCGCCATTCCATCCTCAATATATCTCCTCCTCTCCCTCCCATCTCAATGGACATCCGCCCGACCTGCAGAAGAAACCCATGCCTCCCTTCTACCCCCAAGATCATTCGCCCACCAGATCCTCCCCATCTCCTCCTACCTCCCCGGCGAACCCTGCTGCTACAACCACGCGGTCTATAGGGGGTGATCGAGTTGAACACTTCTGCAATCACCTGTTGCATGCCTCCGACCGCCGGATATGGCGGAAGACGTACAAGACTTTTCGGGATCCTCTTCAGTCTTTGAAATGGTCACGAACAGATCAGACGGATTATTCTGGAGGAAAACACGAATCGGGCGCGGTAATGGGCATGTTCCTGAGCAGGAAGAAACGAGCGAGTGGTTAGTTCGAAAGAAGTCAGGTCGAGAGAGATGGTACATGTAGCTGGTCGGAGACAATGGGCTCGGGGGGTCGTAATGACAGCGATCAGTGCTGAGTTATTGGGAGCGATATGCGTTTGAAGTGAGATATTACGGCCGAAGTACCACGTCTTGGAGCCATTATCGCGATGCTTTTATCTCCGAGCGAAGTCATTCCTCGGATGCGAACCCCAAAAGAATTCCGAGCACGCGGTGTGTCACTTTGCTGGGCCGAATTCCTAGTCTTGTGCTGTCAACCAGGTCTGCTGTTGCTCATCAATCCCTTGCGTGTCGGCAGGATTCTTGACATTTCACGCCATCGCGCTGACGCAGGAGCCGATCTGTCAGGCATATGCGATCCCATATTGCGCTATAGAGAGAAGGTGGGTGGGCGTGACTCCGTTATAATCGATGCCTTCGAAGCCCTAGGAGGGATGAGCACTCACACACAGGAAAGGGAAGTCCCGCAGGATGTGTGCGTATGATGAGTTTGTTTGCGAGCCCTAGTTGTCTGCCGAGTGCCATCAGTATATAACGCCTTCGAACTTCTAGGGCCTTTGATCAGGGCTGAACGATCATGTAGGCTGCACGCTGACGTTATAACGTGAATAGTGTAGTGCTAGGGCCTAAGTTGGTCTCAGGTGTTTTTCAGCTCGTCAGACTCACCACGCTCGAGCTGTTCGGTGCTGCCGGGGGATCCCACCATCTCTTTCAGTGCATGCTTGAAAAGTGCGATTTGTGGAGGAGTCGAAAATTGTAGTATCTGCAACGGCTGTACGCTGCTGAGATTTTGGTGCATGGAAAGAAGGCTGACGACAATGTATCTTGGAGCAATCGTGTGCTCAGGCTGAGTGCGATGATGGAGGAGGCCTTCAGCGGTAGGCGCGAAGGTTGGTCTCAAGGCCTACTGTACTGTACAGAAGGATCGCGTGGCATAGGACACACACCAGAGCCAGATGTCTTGGAGTGGCAACCATAGTTGTTGATTATTGATTACCAATAATCACTAGTTACTGTAATCACATGTGACTACGATTATGATTATGGAGTAAGTGATTAGTGACTATAGTTAGTAATCAGTCGGTTATTCCAAGGCAATACTAGGGTATATGTTACATCTATAGAAGGTTTCAAATTCGTACTATTTCCTCCTATTTCTATAGACAACAATATACCTAAAATGGGGCACGTCTATCGAGAGGTATATAAGTCGAACATTAGTATACGAGGTCGCTAATTTAGATAGGTTGCTAAGTCTATGTCTTCTTAAGAGGAAGACCTCTTACTACCGCTAGTATAGACCTCCGACTAGTTAACTAAAGCCTTCTTAGTACTATAAAGCTATTACCTATAGCTGTTACTAAAGGACGTACTAGCGACTTATCTAACTCTTAACTAAACCGACTCTTATATTACTCCTACTTAGCTATACTTCTAATAAGCCGGTATACTATCCTTTATTAAAGAAGTAGTATAGAAGGACTTCGAGTAGTATATCGGAGAGGCGGAAAAGGAGGGCTTATAGTTACCGTATCGGAGGGTTATAAGGAAGACGACAAAGAGCCTTCGGTATACGTCGGAGATCGTTCGAAGGGCCGGGGAATACTAGGAGCGTATAGCTAATAGTATTTAACGAGTAAGTAAGGGCATCGACCGGAAAGGAAGGTATATAGCGCTAGGTTCTCGTCGCTACTTTAAGTTTAGTAGAAAACTATGCCTCTGCTTAGAAGAGTGCTTTCTTAGGCTAAAATCGTAGTATCCGATGCGGTAGACGCTATTTAAGGATCGGATCGATAGGATTCTATACCGTCTAATCGATAGCGAAGGTGCTACCGGCGATAGTAAGGTTGTTGTTATTAATTAGGTATAATTAGTCGTAGACATTAGTATTCGAGCTTGCTATCGCACCTGCCTATCGCGTTATATTAGCACTTTAGGGTCTAGCTAAGCCTAATAGATAAGCTTCGCTTAGCACGGACGGCAAGGTCCGGACAGCTTAGCCGTATACTAGCAAACTCAAATCTCGATATTCATTATTTAGTTTAAGACAACAATACATTCGATATGCGAGATAACCTACGTAAGAAGCATAAACCAACTCAGAAAGTACTAGAAAATTACGTAAATACCTAAGCATCGATATAGGAAAACGAGCTACTAGATCGGATACTATTCTATAAAGATTCGAGCGATCTAAGCGATCTTCTATCCTCTAAAGCTAATAAAGCGCCGTCTCTAACACTAGACGAGGACACCTTATTCCTTTAATCTTCTAATTCTATTCGACTATCTACCTCGTAGTCCTCGAATATAGTATAGCCGATACCTACGCCTACGGTTACCGAGTTAAGGAAACGTAGAAGGGGTAGGAACTAGCTAGATCTAGCGTTATAGGCGCATGCGAGAGCACTAAAAGATAGAGAGCCTTTAAAGGTCGATAGAGGCAGGTATAAGGCATTCTACTATATATACTACGACGATAACGACCCTAATCGGTACGCGTCTAATTCTAGTAACGCGCCTTAGCACCTAGCTAAGAAGCACTTTATATTCGTCGGTATTAAGAAACAGAAGCTTAAAGGTACTTATAAGAAGTAGACGAAGATTAACCTCTCGGCGCTATAGAAGAAGTAAGGCTCTATTAAGTCGGACAAGACGACGAACATACTTAAAGGCGCTACGGATAAGGACAAGTTTAGATACGCCCTCGCTCGCTTTGCAATAGCTAATAGTATCGCTTATACTACGCTAGTTACGAAGGAATTTAAGGACCTTATACTAACGGTTAATCTATATACAGAGGAGGTTCTTCTTAAGAGCTATACTTTACTGTTTCCTCGTATTCTATACAACTTCGAGAGCTAGCGAGAAGGGGTCAAACGAGCACTATTAGCAGCGCTTAGTTGTATTTACTTTTGTACTAATATATAGAAGTCTTAGTATAGCTATAAGTTCTTCTAAGCCGTTAATTGCTAGTATATTAACCTATAGAGCCGCCTAGTCTAAATACTACTAGATTTGCTATAACTTCTACCTAGCTCTTATACTAGCGACTTCCTTACTAAGAGTGTCCTACCTTGCTTCTTAACCTTCGAGATAGCTAGCAAACTTGGCTAGATAACGACTAATAGCCGCTCTAATAACAATACACTTAGTGCCGCTATTAAGCGCTTCCTAGACTCGTAAGGCTACTCCTAGAAGAACCGCCGCCTCCGCTATATTAGCTATATTCTTAACCGTGTAACTATAGCCTTTATATTTGCTAAGGACGCAGAGGCTGCTAAGAGTAAGGACTTTAACTAAGTGCTTAGTAACGATAGCGATAGCGTCTCAATCTCGAGGTAGCTCGATATAGATATTAAGTCCTTTGTTAAACAAGGTCTATTGCAACGGTTATTTGTACTCGCTAAGCTTCTACGTAAGAACGACAATAACAACATCTTCTAAGAGGTCTGTAAGGCCTAGCTACAACTGCTATATATAGTACTAAAGATCCCCGGTAAAACACGCTAGAATAGCTAGCTTCTAATAATAGAAGAGGCTATTTAAACTAGGCCAATCTTAAACACCTTCTTCGATAGAATGCCGCACCTGCGCGAGTTTAGCTTAGCCGACGACGACTAGAAGGTCCTTGCCTATATACGGAAGTTTCTTAGTCTATTTAAAGAGGTTACTCTTCGGCTCTAAGGCTATACTATTACATTCGATATGTATCAAGAGTCTATAGAATACCTAAGAAGCTATTTCCTTCGCTTAGCTAGTAAGAACACCTACCGCAAGGTCCTTATTAGGTCTATTAATATAGCTAGAGTGCTATTCGACAAGTACTACGACCTTAACTAGAAGAGCCCTCTATATATTACTGCAGTCTTGCTATATCTAAGCCGACGACTTGCCTAGCTTAGAGGCCGCTTAGCGGTAGATATAGACACTACCTTGTTACAGTCTATAGCGCTTTAGAAGGACTATAAGACACGCTTCGGACGCAGCTATTAACTACTGTCTACGCTATAGCGCTTATTTAAAGGACTATCGGACCTTAAGCGCTAGCAAATTAAGTCTCAAACTAACCTAGTTGCTACTAATTAGGACCCCTTCGAAGCCTTCATTTATGCTAGTCTAATAGTACTGCTACTAGTTAGCCTCGAGAAGCTAGTTATAATAAGTCCTATTAACTAGTGGATTTAATAGCGGAAGACCTGCGATGCAGCGTTATAGCAACTAGCTATTAATATATTGTTAGCCTTTACTATGTCCGCCGAGTTAGAGAGGACCTTTAGTATAAGCCGCCGCACTACTCGATAGGACCGTATATATAAGTAGTAACTATATTCGTATAAACGAGTGCTCGAAGAACTGGATAAGAATAGGGGTTGCTAAGGTGCTATTAGAATTGGCCGTGCTAGAAGAGGTAGAAGAGGAAGGACTATTGCCGGACTTATACTTAGTCTTAGGCGCTGTCGATAGTAACGACTGCCTATAGATCTACCTCGTTCTTAACCCTAAGCATCACTATAGGTACTGATTATATGATTACGTAATTATAATTACTAATTACTTACTTATTATTAACTATGATTATGATTACAGCCGCTGACTAGTGAGTACTTAGTAATCAACTTCTATAGTGGCAACTCTCTAGTAGCGGCGTCGTCGCCGCAGAGGAGAAAGCTTAGACTATTCCTTTCGTTACCGGTATTTGACCTTATGCAAGCTATTATAGCAAGCGGGCATAGCAGCAGGCTTGCAGTGTCCTAAGGCTCGAACTCGTGCCTCCGTAAAGGCAGAGCAAGGTAATAGAATAGCACTACTGCTGCTAATCGACGTGCGCGTGCGCGTGTCTGTAAGCATACGCAAAAGAAGACATAGCACCGAGCTATCTCCACTCAGACTAGTAACAAAGGGTATTCGTGTATGTGATATAGAATTACGTGTTCCGTAGCAGTGTTAGAGGGCATGTAAAAGGCATGTAACCGGCTGAGTGAAGCTAGGGTCTTAATGCCTTAGGCAGGGCTTAGCGCTAGCCTAACTTCCTAACCTTCCTCTCCCTCCTTTTAAGTTGTAGACCTTATCGAATACTATACGCTTTTAACTATACTATCTGCCTACTTACCTAATCTATATTATATAGTATTCGATCTACCCTTTAAGGGCTATAGCTAGATAGTTAACTAATCTATAATACGGCTTAAAGTTTATACTAAAACAAGCCTCCTACTAAAATAAGACCTATACGCAAAGAAACTACTAATACTATTTCCTATATAAGCTTTTTCTAATTTTAAATTAGCTAATCGAGCTTACGAATAATATTACTATTCTTACTATCGGATAGCCTAACTTACTTCGATCTACGTAGCTCTATCTTTAATATAATAGAAAGCTATAAGAAGGGTTATATTAGTAGGTAGATAGGGTAGTAGTAAATTAGTATAGTATTCGATAGAGAGCTAAGAGGAGAGGGAGGAAGGCAGGCAAGTTAGCCTAACGCTAAGCGCTAAGCCCTACCTAAGGCACTAAGACCCTAGCTTCCCTCGAGCCTAGTTATATACTAATTACGTATAACCTCTTTAGTCCTAACATACGCTTCCCTTCTAAAGGCCGCGCCCTCGTAGCTAGTCTTTGTTCTAACCTCTATCGCTACTAACTTAGTAGGTTTAATAAGCTACTCGATCCGCGCTAAATTAAATACGCAACTACCGATTATATAACTATATTAAACCTTACCTCTAATATAATACAATGTCCAACTCTAACTGCGCTATCCTTATATATAATAAAGTAATATATAACTATAAGAATTAAGGACTATCGACTAATTATAATACGAGCGCACCTTCCCTACTATAATAGGCAGGTATACGGGGTATTATAGCACTGCCCCCGTTCTAAGTAATGTCGTTCCGAGTTCTTTGCGTCTACCCTAAAAGACCTAGAAATGTCCGCTTCCGAGGGTTTGTCTGTTCCGAGGGTTGTTCTAGTTATTACGAGGGCTATTATTTACTATCGTAGTTTTACTAGCCCTAATTAGTTAGGTTTAGCAGCCTTTAAGTGTTAACTAATTACATCTTTTTAAAAAACTTAGTTCTTCTAGTTTCTATAGATAAAGGCTATTATAAGTATAATAGTTAAGGTTCGCCTCGCTTAAAGAGTCGGAGAGATTAAGAAGTAACCTATTGTCCGTAAGATCGACCCCGGCTAGCTTAGCTCTATAGTTTTTGCCCTTAGTTAGCCTATTAGTCGCTTAATCTTTTAGGCGGCTTAAAGTTTTAACTTGGCCTTAAAGTTTTAATTAAACCTTTAATATAGCTATTCTTTTAACTTAACTAGTATAGTACGTTCCGGCTCGTAGTATAGGTAAGGTTACGTCTACGGCGCAGTAATAATAGCAAGTAATGTTAATAATAGCGGCGCTAGTCGTCTTAGCGCTAACTTTACCTCGCTTCTAATCTTCTTCTTTAACTAACAATATACTCTGTAATACTGTTACTAATATAGGCGCGTCGGCTGCCGGCACACTACTAGCTCGTAGCGCGATACTATTATTATTACTATCGTTACTCGTATGCGCGCGCCCTCGCCGATTACCTAGGCCTCGATAGGATAAAGGAACAAGAGGGGGACCTAAATACTAGGGGAAGGGCCTTATAGGGCGTATTAGTAAAGAGGTAGAGCCCTTAAAAGAGTAGTAAATAGTTGACGCGTTATAGCGCGCTTATTAACACTCGGTATACGTTTATCGGTGCGCGTTTACTATAGTAGTATAGTCTTATTGTCCCTTGTTACTAATAATTACTTGCCTCTAATTAGTTAGCTAATAGTACCTTAGGGGTAGTATTGTTCCTAGGCCTTAATAGTAACATTATAAGCTTTTAGCCTTCTTCTTGTTCTTTACGCTAGTCTAATACTTATCTAACAACTTAGTTATATCCTCGAAGAAACCTTTAGCTTCCTATAAGTCCTATTTAGGCGAATAGCCTTGCTATCTTAGTAGGTACTCCTTCTTACCTTATTTAGTCCGATGCTTTAGTATACGCTCTATAGACTATAGCTCTTTACTATTAGCTAAGACCTCTTCTAACTTAGCAGGCGCTTTATCGCCTTCGCGTTAGTAATATAGCTTAAGAAGGGATACGTAGAAGGTATTATAGATAGTATAATAAGGTAGAAGCTATAACTAGTAGGCCTAGCTATTACCCTTCGGTTCTCGGATGCGGAATAGGCTAATATATCTTAGTGCGAGCTTAGGCCTTGTTTTACTATTAGGTAATAGGTGTTTGCGGATACGGAGGTTCTTCGTACTAAGTATAACTATATCGCCTTGCTTAAAGGTTACTAGTGTGTAGCGCTTATCGTAGTAGGCCTTTTAGTACTCTTAAGCCTTTGTTAGCTTCTTAGCTATCTTAGTATAGATTTCTCGTATCTTCTAAATACGTTCTATTGCCGCTAGTGTCTCTAGTACTTAACGCGCTTCCCTTTCCTTACGCTCGGCCTCGAGCGATAGTAGGTCTTATAGTATAGCAGCATTCTAGCCTATTATAGCTATATATAGTAAGACCTTAGTTAATAAATGTATACTATTATTATACACGAATTCGGCTAGTTATAGGAGGTTAACCTATCTGTTAGGGTCCTCGTTAATGTAGCTACGTAGGTACTGCTATAGCGTAGCATTTTGCCTCTCTATTTAACCGTTAGTCTGTAGATAGAAGGCTGTTAATAGCCGATACTTTAGTCTTAGCTATAGGCATAATTCGCTCTAATAGTACGATATAAATATCGAGCCCCTATCGGAGACTATCCCCTTAGGGGTCCCCTAATAGCTATAGAAGATGTTGTTCTATAGGGCTTTAGCTATATTAATAGTAGTCTAATCCTTTCAAGTAGGGATATAACGAGCGCTCTTAGTAAACCGGTCTACGACAACTAGGATAGCACTATATACATCCTTACTACCCCTACGCTTAGTAGGCGGAAGGCCTATAATAAAGTCTATTATAAGCTTAGTAAATAGCTTCCTAGGAATAGGAAGTGAAGATAACTCGCTAAATAGTAAGTGCTTTAGTGCTTTAACTCGCTAGTATACTATATAGGTCTGTATATACTCCTTTATATGCCGCTTACTATTTAGCTAGTAGTATATGCGCGATAGTAACTCGTGCGACCTCTCTATACTATAGTAACTAGCGAGTTTACTATTATAGTGCCTCTTTAAAAGCTCTTATCTAATCGATTGTTTAGCGGGGACATAGTATCTACTCTTAAACTTTAAGTAACCCTTGTCGTCGATCGACTAATTGTTATTACTCTTACTAGATCGAGTCGCCCGTCTACTTACAAGCCTATTAATACGCTCGATAGCAAAGGCGTCCCTCTGCTAAGCACGTAATAGCTTATCTATAAACGATTAACTATCCCTATTTACAAGGTTATTTAATAGTACCCGTACTATCGAACGAGGTACGTATTATATGTATCTAATAGTACTAGTAGCCGGAACTACTACAACCTCTTCTATAGTACTATCGCTATAGATAGTAATATCTTTAATCGAGTTATTATAGCTCGAGCGATCTACGTCCTTCTTAATATATACTAGAAGAACGACAACTCCGCTATAGTATTTGTTGCCGCCGCGGGGTCCGGAAGTCTACTTATCCTACACTTGCTTATTAATAATACGGGCTATAGCAATCTTATACTATAGGGTTGGAAACAATAAATTAATATGTTAGGTCTCGCTATCGTAATTAGGTCGCCTCGATAGGCTATCGGTAGGGTTACTTACGCCTAGCTAGTATAATATATTAAAATCGAACCTAGCGAGGTAGACGGCCTATCTAGCCTATCGACCTATAACTCTAGTAACCTTAGTAATACTACGGAGGTTGTTATAGTCTGTATAGACCTAAATAGTGTGCTATATACTATCGAGATAGTAGCGCTAGTGCTTAAAGGCTTCTACGATTACTAAGAGCTCTTGCTCGTAGGTCTCGTATCGACGTTCTATATCGATTATCTTCTATAAGAAGAAGGCAATTAGGTGCTAGTAGGTGTTATTAGCCTGTTATAATATAATAGCTAATATAGCGAACTATAAAGCGTTAGTCTTAATTCGGATCTACTTAATTAGTACGAAATAGTATAATAAGGGGACTTTAGTAAAGCGTTACTTTAGACCGTTAAAAGCGGCTTGTGCTCTATTAGTCTATTTAAACTCTCTAGTTAGGTTGGCCTTAGTTTTAGTAAGCTCAGTTAATAGCATTATATACCTCGAATAGCCCTTAATAAACCGGCGGTAGAAGTTAGTAAAACCGAGGAATAATTGAAGCTCTTTAATAGACGTAGGAACAGGCTATTCGGTAATTGTTTTAATCCGATTAGGATTAGCCTTAATACTATTAGTTAATACGATGAAGCTAAGGAAGGCTACCTCCTTAGTAGTAAAGGTGCATTTAGAAGGCTTGCAATATAGGCTATAGGCCCGTAGGCGGTCGAGGACCTTTTGTACTATAGCCTAGTGTTCTATAATGTTAGGTAAATAGATATAAACTAGGATGTTATCTAGGTAAACTATACAGAGATAGTCTAATAGGCCCGAAAGGGCCTAATTAATATAGGACTAGAATGTTGCAAAGGCATTAGCTAAGCCGAATAGTATAACTAAGTACTCGAAATAGCTATAGCGAGTACGGAAGGCTGTCTTCTATTCGTCGCCCTTACGAATACAGATGCGGTAATAGGCATCCTTAATGTCTAATATAGTATAGTAGTAAGCGCTAGAAAGGCGATCGAGGGTCTTATTAATAAGCGGGAGTAGATAGCGGTCTTTAATAGTAATAGTATTAAGTCTACGGTAATTAATATATAGGCGTAGGCTACTATCCTTCTTTAGTACGAATAGGATAGGTGTACTAGTAGGACTGTTGCTATACCGAATACGACTATTAGCTAGGTTTTCTTCTAGGTACTTACGCAATATAGCAAGCTCGCGCTTACTAAGGTTATAGAGTAGTCTAAAAGGAACCTCTTTGCCCTCTATAATATTAATTTTATAATCTGTCTCTTTAAATATAGGCAATGTCGATGCTAGGTAGTGTTTAAATATATTAATATAAGTCTCTCGAATAGGCTCCGGTATACGAGTAAGCTAATTAGGGTCTATACTATTAGGGGGTACAGGTTTATCGTTATCTCCGCCGAGAAGGTTAGCTATCGGATTAGCTAAGGCAGGTGTTAGGTTGCTAATAAATAGGACCCTAATATCGTTAGGGCACTCGCTAATATTAATATATTTAATGTCCTCTTTCCTAGCGATTCCGAATCGCTACTTCTAGAGGCCTAGGTCTATAGCTATAGCGTAGTACTTAAGAATAGGGTTACTAATAACAATATCGGATAGGAGGCTGTCTATATCTACTACGTAGGTAGTAAAGTCTAGTAGGCGCTTATTGCCGAGGTCGTCCCTTAGAACTATAGGAATATAGTAGGCTCTATAGGTTAAGTGCCGAGTGTTATTAAACTAAGCAAGGGTTAGCAGGTTAGTCCTAGGCAGTTATCGGAGGTCTAATTGCTTAGCTAGGCGATAGTTAATAAGGGCACTAACTAAATTTCCTAGGTCTAGCGTAACCTTAATTTCGTAATTATTCCTATATATATCTCCTACGAGACAGGTACGTATAATAGCTAGTATAATGTCGATAGTCTTACGCCGCACAAGGCTAACAGTTAGTACGGCGCTTACTCTTTTTTCGAAGGTTAACCTATAGGGATAGTATTAGCGGCTAAAAGGTATTTCTTATACTTAGCGGAAGTATAGTTAATCCGGGCCTAACCCCTAGGTTTGTCGCATTAGCCTAGGAGATAGCTAGTGCTATTATAGTTAAAGCACTTCAATCCGGTAGGTAGGTTACCGTAGCTATTATTACTATTGTTAGCCGAGCGGTTAGTATTATAGGGATACGAGCCCCTTCTACGACCCCTATCGCGGCCTCCTCTATATAGCCGCCGGCTACGGCCTCTTCTACGGTCGTTACTATTCCTATTATTAGCATTGTTATCTTAGTAGGAACCTTGATTTCCTCCGCGGCTACGGTTGCTATAATTAGTACTAGTTAGTCGGATCCTCGATTCTAGTCGTTACTAGAGCTAGATAGCTCGTTCGGCTATTTCTACTTCGACTATAAATTAAATGCGTATTAGATTAGCCTATTCGAACACGCGACGGCGGTCTAATTCGAGAATAAGCTCCTACCTAAGCTTAGGGCGTATTTCCGAGATCTATATAGAATTAGTCTTAGCCGGAAGGTTATCCTCGAGGGTCTTTAGATAGGCCTCGAATAAGCGAGCCGATTGATTAGTCTTCTATTTAGCTCGAAGATATAGGTCCTAAGTATATTATTGCCTTAGTATAGGGTTTCTAAGGGTGTCTAGTATAATAACTTTATAGGTCTGCTACTAAATAGCGGTCTAGTCGTCGAGGGAGTCGAAATAGTTATCCTATATACGCTTTAGGTCGCTATTAATATACTATATAGCGTATACGACTAAGGAATAGTCGTCTAGTAGCGCTCTTAGTGCATTACGCTAGTTGAGTTTATAGTTACGAATATAGTCGTTATACTACTTTCGACTAGAGCTATTAAATATAGTATAGTCCTTAAGTTTAGTATCCTTCTTTTAGATAGGTAGTAAAGAAGGTCCTGCTATTAGTTTAGTAGTAGTTATTAGAGCTTCCTAAAGGCGACGGAGCTCGAGGAGGTTATCCTTTAGCTATTATTCTTAATGTAGGGCAGTAAGCCTATTTTAAGTAGCTTCTTAAAGTCTCCCTAATAGTTAAGGGCTAAAGGCTAGTTAGCTATATTGTCGATTAATAATGTTGTTAAGAATGTCGTTAATAGGCAATTCCGGATTATTACCTAGAATTATAGGTTCTTCTTTAGTAGGCTCTCTAGTAGGAGGCACTTTAGTAGGCACTTTAGTAGGAACTATGCCGCTAGTATTATTATTGCTAGCGCTGCTAGCGGCACCGCGGTTGTTATTTCGTAATAAACTAGCTATTATAAGAGGCGACACTAATAATGTATTATTAGCCCCTAAGATGCGGATATAGCGGAATTAGCGGATATCGGTCTAGTACGATTAACTCGGTATAATAGGCTATATAGAAGGCCTTGCTTGATAATTAGTACGGTTGTTTTAATAGAGTAGTACGTATAGGTCCTATTCTTCGGGCGTAATATAGTTAAATCGATAGTTCTCGTAGCTATACCGCTAAAAGCTTAAAATAAGGACTATCTAGCTACTGCCCTTAAAAGGTAGATCGAATACTATATAAGAAGGGTTATATTAGTAGGTAGATAGGGTAGTAGTAAATTAGTATAGTATTCGATAGAGAGCTAAGAGGAGAGGGAGGAAGGTAGGCAAGTTAGCCTAACGCTAAGCGCTAAGCCCTGCCTAAGGCACTAAGACCCTAGCTTCCCTCGAGCCTAGTTATATACTAATTACGTATAACCTCTTTAGTCCTAATAAAAGCTAGCCGACGCGATTCGTATAGGACTTACTCTATAGTTTACTAACCTAGTACTATATAACCTTCTTTATAGTAAGGTTATTTTTCTATATCTTATATAGTACTTCTTTATAGCGCTCTCTTTTATCGCGATAAAAATAGAATTAGTAACGTATATAGCGGGTCGACTCGTTATTACTACTACCTACGCTACTACTATCTATACTACTATCTACTTCTAGTTATAGACGTCGCGCTAGATCCTCCTCTTTAGTAGACTCGTTACCTAGATACTTATAACTTAAAGATATAAGATTAGAAAGATTAGAGGAGGTAGATAGACTAGAAAGGGAGCGACTAGATATATATCTATCTATAGTAAACGATAGAGATAGATCCGTAGAGGTAGACTAGAAAGCTATAAAGGGTATAGCTATAATAGAAATACGCGATAGTATAACTATATCTATATAGTACTATATAGCGTATAACGCGACGTATACGCTGCGATAACGATATATTTATATCCGATTTTGTATTTAGGAGACTTCGGGGAAAAGATAGTAATATAGAGGAAAGTATTCCTACTATAGAGAGTAGTTTTTACTATAGGAAATAGTCGTTCTAGTATTAAAACTACTAGTAAGATTATATAACTCTCCTATATTAATATTTAATATATAAAGTCGAAATCCTAATAGAAACGGCCTAGACGAGAATAGCGATTCCTATATTCTACGTCCTAGTTAGAAGATTTTACTTAGCTCTATATAGTTTTTATCTAAGCCTACTACGGAGCAGTCTGTATACGGGACGCGGACCGCTATATTCCGCAAAGGCAGATTGTCTAATAATAAAAGGTACTTTAGAATATAAAAGCAGGAGTCGCTAACATTCTCGTCTAGTCTCGAGATAGGGCACCGAGTGGCTTTCTAACGCTGACGCTGGTGGAGAAAAGTGCTGGCCTCCGTTCGACCACGACTTTCACACCGGCAGTCGCCGAGAGCAGTCTCTGGCTGACGGAGCTGGTGATTGTCACTGTTACCCTCACTGCTGTGCAAATATTGAGCACAATAATGGAGACGGCAGGTACGTAGGCCCTGCCTGTTGGACCGCATCTCGCTCGCTCGTGGACACAGACCCGGTCACTGCTTCGACTATGCTGCTCGTCTTCCTTACTTTGCGCTCGGTGCCTCCGTGTAGGGCTGACACAGAACCGCTTAGTGGGCCCGTCATATGCTTGCGTGAGCAGTCCAGCAGGCATCATGACTGAAGGAGTTTCATCAGTCGCCAGCGGCAGCCGTATGAGCAAGCGCCGCCGCGTCGAAGAATGCAAGACGGACGAGGGCAATGCTCACGGCCCCTCTGACTCCTATCATGACAGCTGGACCGATGAGACACCGCGCCAGATTGCTGCGTCTCAGGATGCTGCATCATACGCTGCAATCACCACGGCATTCAACAATGCAGCTGCCCGCCCTCCCATCAATGCAAATGAGAGCTCGCGGTGGCAGCAATCGAACCCTTCCGCATATCCCGATCTCGCCGCAGGCTTCCAACAGCCGTATTACTATCAGCAGTCTGGCCAGGCGACATATAATACTGCTTGGACCCCCACCGATTCTCAGGCGTATGGCAGTGCGACTGCTACTACCTCCAGCTATACCACAGGAGAGCCTTCTGGAACTGCCACGATGCCCTACTTTCCACCGACTACATCAGGCACTGCTCAACTTGTGGAAGCGATCGATGCCCTCGATGGTGCTACAGCATTTAATTATCCAGAGGTGGAACATGCAACACAATATGCCTACAACCGTAATACGTCCCGATGTCTCCTATCACTGTCTTGACGCTAACCTTGAGCAGCTGCAAATATGACAGCTTCGCGAGATGTGGCAAAACCGGGATCTGCATACTACTTCGACGATGCAAGTATGCACCTGAAGATACAAAGTCTACCGATATTGGACAATCTGGCCACGCAATTAATACACACGATTTCCAAAGCGAGCTTTCCTCAAATACAAGACATGATGCGTGTCGCCGACTCCGAGGACGGACAAGCGTACAGGACCCTCAAAAATCTGTTCGATCAAACTCGCAAGGTCTACAGTCGAGAGACAGCCTTCATTGACGCCATCGCTATTCAGATGTTTCAGCCCGCTCAGCAGGAGATAATACGAAAGGCCAATATTGCCACATTCATCTCAAGTATACTGGGCGCCCACGACGTCAGCTTCTTCCACCTCAATGAATTCTTCATGGAGACCTTTGTACCTCTCGGTCATCGTTTACTTAAGTGGCAAGGCGCCATTTATCTGGAACTGAAAACGCAAACTTACATATCTGCTTTGATGAACAGCGATGGTGGCCCTGAAGAGATGTTAGATGAGCTGTTTCCACCAGATCTTGACGCCCAAATTCTTACTCGACATCCTGATGCGCCCAGCCTATCGCCCAGTGAGCAAGATTTCATCGATCGGAGTCGAGCTCGAAAGAGCTACCTCCTCGCCGAGCCAACTTCTGCGGACGCCCTGAAAGAGTTGCCGAAGAAGTATCAATGGAGTGACTTCGTTCGCGAATTCGCATCTTGCATCACGAAGAATGTAGATGGTATCATGAACGTCCCTGCCCGATCCCAGGCTGTTTCTACTAGTGCCAAGGGGGCCAACGCGGAGATAAGTGGACAAAATGGCGCGAATGGAGCAAGTAACGGCACATTCGCAGCTGTTTCAAATTTGTCCATTAATGGCAAAGCTTCTGGCAGTGGCGGCCCTGAGCCACGAAAACCCACGCCGGCTGCTTCTACAATACGACAGCCATGGACTAAACCCGAAGAAGACGCGCTGCTTGCAGGTCTGGAGCGCGTCAATGGCCCGCATTGGTCACAGATTCTCGCGCTTTATGGTAGAGGAGGCTCGGTCAGTGAAGTGCTCAAGGACAGGAACCAAGTGCAGCTCAAAGACAAGGCCCGAAATCTGAAGCTGTGGTATCTCAAGACAGGAAAAGAGGTACCACCTTCATTACGAGGTGTCACTGGTGAGCTGCGGAAACGTGGTGGAGCTCGAGCAAGAGCTGCTCTAGGCATGACGGACGAGAACGAAGACGCCGGTGCAGCAGCGGAGAAAGATGCCGATGGCGAGGATGGAGAAGAGGCAGACCAGGACAAAGAGACCACGACGCGGTCAGGGCGAGCATCCAAGAAGAAAAGCAAGAAGACATGAGCGGATGACGATGTCGACGGGCATTCAGGCCTGAAACGTCTTGATGTAGTGTCAGGACCTCTTCGTGCAGTTTTGGAGTTACCGAGATCGGAAGGAACAGTCCTGGGAGACGGAAAGACAGCACCTAGCCCGCCCGGCCGAAGAATCTTGAAGGAAAGGCTGGCAGAAGAAGCATAACTTAACGCAGCGATGGATATGATACGGTACCTTGCAGTGTGCATATGGGCATGCGTGTGATCAACACGAATGATTTCTTGTAAATGATTATCAGAAAGCCAGCAGTGACTGTAATCTAAGCCAAGAGAGTAGAGTCATGCCACGCGTGGCCGCCGTGGAGGCTTGGGCATGATTGCAGTGCTGCTCTGGGTCCAAGACATAAATCGTCGTGTTGTGCAGAGTCTGCTTCTGCTGACGACTCTACCTTGAAACCTCTCTATCGGTACAAACATCATGCCAAAAACCTTGAAATACATCTTGAAAAGGTGTTCTTACGATGTGCAACCAAGCCTCTGGAATATAATTTGGCTTCGTCGTTTGTGATCGCAAGCAGGATGGTTCCATAGCCAGATCCCGCCGTAGCATGAAGAGCCCTATATTCCGCGAGATTCTTGTTTCAGCGTCACGGTGATGTGCAGCGTCGTCATCGAGTCTTTCGAACCCACTGCGCATCCAAGCCTAAGTCTCAACAACGACCCGGTATCACGATCAGATCCTCCGATAGCTGTCTAAAGCTGAAAATCAAGCAGCGCTGCTCGACGGGAAGACTGAGTGGTGCGAAATCATGTTGCCTTGGGAGTTCCATTCCATCAACTCTTCTAACGTTCCTTCGAACGAATTGCAAGCTTGGCAAATACATCCACGAGCTGGGCATAGTCCTCGGGCTTTTCGGTATCCTGGCTTGTCGAGGCTCCGGCTTTCGCTTTCGCGAGATTCGTGGTCACGCCTCTGCGCTTCATGTCTTGGAGGTGGTCTTCGATTGTTGTCCTGATGCTTTCTGTTGGAGGCGTGCCTTCGCCGAATGTATGTGTTGCGTTTCGAAGGTTTCGTAGGAGCTACGGTTGGTGTGAGCATAATGGAGTTTTACTAGGTAAAGTGATGTTCGATGTTTAAGAATTTCGACGTACTATTAGAAGCAGCTCGTCGTCGTTTATTGGGTCGTCCATCTCTTCGTCTTGGGCTTGGTCTTGCGATGCCATGTTGAAATAATAATGTCTTGTGAAGGTAGGGATGGCAAGTGTTTAGCGTGGTCGGCTGTGGCTGCCTGAAAGCAAAGCATTCCTTGGCGTGTCCACCACCAACACCGTACGACTTCGTGTCTATACAAGATGTACATTGTTCGCGACATCTTCAGATTTGTGGTAGCAATGCCACAGCCTCTCCGACCCACACAAAGCATGTATTATGGATTGTGTCTGGATGCTGCATCATGAGGCACTAGAACCAATAGGCGAGGTTCTTCGCGTGGCGTCGGCGGCACTGTACCAAAGATGGGATGGACGGAAAGTAGAGTTCGACGATCAACAATGCTCCACAAACCTCGGCCTTCTTCTGATCGCCTCCTCTGCCTTTGCCGTGCGCTGTGAGTATCAAGACGTGCTCCTACATTCTCAACAATGAGTCCCAGCCGGTAGTACAGTACGGATGGTCTTGACAACATGTCGAGAATGGAGAGCTTGATGGACTGGCTCGATGGCCCGCGGGCCAATCGTGTCGAGTGGGAGAGTCGTGATGTGTTCGTTGCAGAGAAACCGGCGGTCACAACGACAACAGTCAAGAAAAGGCGCGAGACTGCGTGGCTAGACGGTCTGCGAGGCATCGCCGCATTTCTCGTGGTATTGCACCATGTCCAGCCCGGCGTCATCTATCTGGGCAACTGCTACAATACGAAGATCAAGATTGGAAAAGAAGTGCTGTGGCTCCATACGCCAGCGGCCTTGCCCGTCATCAGGCTTTTCTTCACAGGTGGATCGATTGCTGTCGAAGTCTTCTTCTTCATCTCAGGTGAGTCGCACATGCGGCCATGCAGATGTCAGATAGATTGGCATGGAGAAGCACTGGCTGACAGCTATGTACCTCAACAGGCTATGTGGTGCCACGTCGACTCGTAGTCTTGCTTCATCAAGGACGGCAGGCGGAATTCATCGATGCCTTGAACTCGGCTGTCATCCGTAGACCTGCTCGTCTGTTCATCCCAGCTATGGCAACAACCTTTCTGACCGTTGTGTTCTTTTACATCACTGGCATCGAACCTCCGTGGCCTCCATCGCTGTCTCCCAGTAACATCTTCCAAGCATGCCTCTACTGGATGTTGGACTGCTTCCAGCTGACGAACTACTTCGATGCATTTACCTCTGATTACAGCAGAATCTTGTGGACGGTAGTGGTGGAGTTCAAGGGTAGCATGGCGCTGTTCATGTGGCTATTCGCCATACATCAGTTCAGAGCACAATCGAGGGTTTGGCTTACACTTGGACTGACGTTGTATCTCGTGTTCTTCACCACCAGTAAGTCACCCTGACAGCCAGTCTGCAATATCAGATCTCCGGTAAGGCTAATTTGTGGACCTCCCGCAGGGACCGAATTTGCGGCATTCTTCGCTGGTCTGGTCACATCGGACATAGATCTACTGAACGCTTCGGAACAACGAGTCTGGATCCCGCTTTGGACGGAGCTTTGCGAATTCCTAGCGACACGTAGATTCTTTCGATCAATCGCCCTGCATTTGGCCTTTGTCGCAGCGCTCTTCTTCGCAAGTACACCCATCCTCAAGACCGACATCAGCAGCAGCAAAGCAATTGAGATTTGCGAATGGCCGAAGTTCACATGGTATCTTGTTCCTTGGCAGTACTGGAAGTCGTGGCCGATGGGATTCCAGCGAGATTTCTGGTAAGACCAAACACATTCTGATTCCCATTTGGAAAATGCATTGATTTGACATCATATAGGTATTTCTGGAGCTCGTGGCTCATCATTCTCACCTGCAAAGAGATCGAATGGCTCAAAGGTCTATTAGAAGGCCGACTTCCACAATGTCAGTCTTGTATATTCCCCCTCAATCGATCCTATCCACTGACTTCCTCTACTTAGATCTCGGCAAGAATTCCTTCTCCCTCTACCTCACTCACTCTATTATCACAACCACTTTGACGAAAAGTATCCTCCTCCTCACCGGCTTCGCCTGGCTCCGTGGCCCCCAACCACAATGGCCCTTCGCTCAAATACCCGTGGGCGCATGGAATCACGGAATCACGTCCAAGAATGTTGGTCCTGATGGTTTTCGGCCGGCCGAGCTATTCAACGTCTTTGCGAGCCTAATACCGATATTTTTCTTGGCAGAGCTTGGAACACGAATCTTTGACGAGCCGAGTGTTTGGATCGCGGAATGGATATGGGAGAAATCAAAGGGATTGAGATAGGTGTATGCCCAGAAATGACATTTTTGAGTCCCAACCAATGATGAATGCAATTCGCTTTCCCGCGTCGATCTCGAGATGATGAAAGAGCAGCTTTTCTTAGTCAAGATATTTGAAATGTCGAGTCTGAAGTTTTTTTTTCTCCCCGCTGCTTCTGCTCGTCTACACCGCCGAGTTGTCATTGCGACTGACCAAGGCCTACGGTAGCCGCGTCTTGACTTGCTTACGTGACACTTGGACCCTTTGATCGTCCTCGATATGCAGGAACAGTCTCGCCACTATCCCTGAATCATGCCCAACACGTGTGACCGTGTCTGACCCGCATGACACGATATCAGTTCTTCAGGCAGCAATTGGTCGCCAATGTTCAAGACTCTCCAGGATGATTGGTCTGATTAGACAGGAGAACATTATACTGGTATCTACATTCAGGGTATCTCTGCAAAAAAAGGACAAGGGCTTTCTAATCGCGGTAAGAGGTGGTGATGATGTGTCGTTCCGCGCATGGCGAGATCCAAATTGTTCTAGCCAAATCCACTGTGCGATCTCCTTCTCCTCATTATGCTCAGAAGCAGAACCAATCGCTTGAGCCCGAAAGCCTCGAAGCTCGGGGTATAAAGCAGGAAATCATGCGAGATGGTTGCTCGACAGCCAGCGTGTGCGCCCGAAAGGAGTGTTGGGCTGTGAGTGCTGACTTGGTGTCATTTTCGCTGCGTTGTGCATGCATCGCCGTAAGAAGTTATTAGAAAGATTTCCTCCAAGCGCCGCGCTATGCCCATGATTGTCCATTAGAGTCATGTCGTGACAGGTTCGTCCCAAGTCCGATTTCACCCTCGAGAATCAGGGAAGGGATTTTGAGGCCCAGTGCCGTCTGTTGAGTCGCCCTCGATGGTCTTCTTCCAATGTTGAGGAAGACAGATGCAGACGAGTGGGAAGGCTTTGACTTCGCCCTCATCAGTGTGGTCTTGTGGAGGCGCTTCGCTCAGGCCGCTGTCCCGTGCGACTTTGTCTTCCGGCCTCCAATCATCAGCTCTCTGCCTGACACGGACTCCAGTGGCCCATCCATCATCCCAGATGCCCAGTACTTTGATCATGTCTCCGCGCTCAAGCTGGAACTCGTCAGCGGCGCGCGGTTCATAAGCCCACAACGTCGACACCAAGTCTCCTGGGCGGATCTCATCTTGTGAGTAGTAGTCTTTGAAGAAGTTGAGTTGCTCGCTCTGCCCATGTGACTCTGGAGAGGTGTAATCCGCCCCAGAGCTGGGCGAGGTGTCTGCAACACCGGCTGCTCCAATGGCAAGCTGAGACCCACTCGAGAGCGAGGCACTACGCTTCGGAGGTGGCGCCAGCTGTTCGGGCACATCGTCTAGTGACGTGTCTTTAGTATAGCCCATGGCGTAGGGCAGGTGGTGGTCTGAGGCGCTTGAGTCTTCCAACGCTGACATACGAGCCACTCGCCCACCTGGTAAGACGGCCAGTCCTGCGCGCTCCTGTCCATCTCTTGTTCCGTCGTGGAATGCCATTTGCGGCGATCGTGCAGTCGACGGCTGATTGAAGACACTGGTAGCTGGACTAGAGTCTCTATGTCTTCTCAGGAGCAGGCAGCCTGCTATGATGGCAGCAAGGAGGAGCAGTGCACCCAAGATTGATCCAACAACGATGCCTGCGATTTGTCCGCCGCTCAAACCATCGTGGTGGCTTCCTGAAGACTGCGTTGCTCCTCCGGCAGTGGGCGCGGCGGTGGCGGTGGCGGAAGCGGTGATGGTGACTGGCTGTAGCAGCGAGGCAGATGCTACGATGGGTAGCTTGACGCCGTCACATCGTTCGGTGGTGTTGGAGAAGAGGCAGCAGGAGTCTGTAGCATTGGGCGAGCTGGCTGCACAATAGGAGCACAGGCCAGACAAGTTGTCGGTGAAGCCGCAGTTGTCGGCCTGGTTCTCAACGGCTTCAATGCATGAGCCTGTTATGGAACTAGCAGGCAAGGCGCAATTGGTGAAGTCGGCGCGGATTTGGGTGAGAGCGTTCTTGCCGGCGGTGCCACAAATGTTACTAGCAGTGATCTCCTGCTCGCTCTGAGCGTACTCGGCGCAGCTATCTGCACAGAGCGGCCGTGTTGCATTATCGGTCAAGGCGCAGGGATCGATGGAGTTCTGCACGATGGCATTGCACAAAACGCTGGTGGTGTATCGCGCGTAGAAGGCTGTGGTGTTATCCAAATTCACGTTAGAACAGCCGATTAGTTGTTGGTACCTGTGGCTCGTCAGCGGGGTCGGGGTGGTCAATGGCTGTCGGCCATGCTGGGCGCACCAACCGTAATTGGGTAAAATCGGCAGCGATATAATGTTGGATACCAGCGTCGAAGGATGCGGTGTCGGAGACGTTCTGTAAAAACGGGAATAGAGCAGTCAGGTTGGTGTCAGTGGATATGGAGGCTGCGCTGAAGGCCGGACACGCCGAGGAATTGGCCAGCGAAACACAGGTCTGTGCCATGGTGGTTGGAATAGTGCTGGCAAGCAGTGCGCATAGTGCCAGGTGGGGAGCGACGTTGGCAGATTTTCGAGCGGTCCGGTCAGAGTGGCGATGTGATGTGCGTGTGCATGTTGGCTCTAGATGTGCAGATATCGAATGCGGGCGCGGAGCGTGGTTGTGCGCAGAGCTTGACTCGCGGGTGTGCATCCAATCGCCATGGGAGCGACGGTCGGCAGCTTTTCTGCTCATTCTTCGCTTCTCTCACACGACGGCGGCAGACGCAGACGCAGACGCAGGTGCAGGGTCGATGCAGTCGGTTGGGCCAGCGAAGGCCCGTCGCTCGCTCGCTCGCTGGCTCGGAAGGTCGTGGTCGTGGTCGTGGTCGTGGTCGTGGTCGTGGTGCAGCTGCAGGTGTGTATTGTGCCTGAAAGCTTCTCCTCACCAGCCGAGGACAGACGCGTAGCGGTGAGTTCGCAGACGCATACTTCGACGGGCGGCCAATTGCGGTGGTGCTGGTGCTGGTGCTGGTGCTGGTGCTGGTGCTGGAGCTGGAGCTGGTGCTGGTGCTGGTGCTGCGGCAAACGAGTGACTGCAGTTGAATTGGGATACGCCGTGCCTTCACCGCGACCACAGCGACTCTGGCGAGGAAGGCACGAGTGCGGTCGGCGGGTGGTCGGACGTCGTCGAGGCAGAGCAGTGACAGCTCGTGACTCGTGAGCCCACACTCAGCGCTGGCCGGCGCCGAGAAGCTAGTTCTAAGCTTTGCTGCTTTGGTAAATTGGCAAATGGGTAAATTGCTGGCTGGCAGTTATCCTGGCCCCGAATCCGCGCTGACCATTGGCCAATGCCGCCAGCCACCACGCCGGCGCCGCTGTCGCTGTGCTCGAGGAAATGGCCCACCCTACCAACATGAAACACCAGCAGAAGAAAACGACATGCACCATTATTATTCTGACCGAGGAAGTGCGTGCTATAAGACAGCTGTGATTCCTCCTCCTTGCTGAACATGACATGTCCGACACTGCATCGACACCGACATGCACGCACATGAATTGTGAAACTCTCTGTACTGCCGCCGTTGTGGCTTGTGGCTACTCCTGCTGTGCGTGGGCCCGCCCGTTTGACCTCCTACGCTACTCCAATAATGCCCGGGTCCATCCCCCGGCCCTCGTGACTCCTGGTCCACGCACGAGCACGAGCAGGCGTGCCATGGCAAGGCCTGATCATTGTTGTGTTGTTGTCCCCCCAAATACTCGTCCAAATGCCTTCGAAACGTCTTCACGACAGAGAGAAAGATGACATGAGGTCGGAATAGGCGGTGTGAGCGACGATGGTACGCTCACGCAAGGGACCGAACGCTTGCCACGCACTGCCACCGCTAGAATACCCCAAGCGACAATTGCTTTGTTAGCACTGCCAGGACCTCGTGCTTTCAGCCCAGCCCAGGCACCGTCTCCGCAAGTCTCCGCCGTCACAGCTCCGACCAGCTCGAGCTGACCATGTTTGACATGACTACTGCTTCACAAAAGCACACACTACTCGCATCGAGATACACTACTCACACCTCACACATCATGCGTTTGCCATGACGCAACTAAGCTGCCATCGTCTGGAAGTCTTTCGACTCAAAATCTCAAGCACGACACGTGGCTTGCATACGCCTTCTATTTAAGACAAGCTTCGAGGCTCAATTGGCTTTGGAGCATCGTTCACGTCGAGAGTGTGAGCCATCTTGGTCAGGAAAACGTCACTAGCCTTCTGGCTTGGAACCTTTTGGCCCATGAACAGGAAGTTCAACGGAAATCCGTAATCGAAGGGATAAGCGTCCTCGATCTCCTCGATTTCTTCAGTAGAAAGCTTGAGGCCTGGAAACGACGAAATCAGTCTCAACTCGCACACACCATCTTTGCCTGGGCGACACCTACTGAGAGCTTCGATATTTCCCTCCAAGTGTTCGATCTTTCGTCCGCCGACGATTGGGAACACGTTCGGGGTCTTATGCATCACGTATGCCAAACTGCCTCTATCAGCATCGACAACATGGTGAACGAGTTCTAATACTTACGCAACGCTGGTGATGATGCTTCCTTTCTGCTTGGCGACCTTCTCGAGCACCGCAGACACTTTCAAATGTACCTCTGACACGCCCATCGGACCATAGTTCCGACCGTCCTGCCTCTTTCTCTGCTCTTCGGTCTTGAAGAATCCTCCGCCGAGAGCGCCCTATCATCCGGTCAACAATTGTCCAAGTACGTGATACCTTTCTACCAATCACTTACCCAAGGAGCGAGGGCCATCCCCTCACCTTGACACATTGGGATGATTTCGCGCTCAAAGTCTCGATCGGCAGCACTCCACTTTCCCTGATAGACCACGAATTGGCGCATTCCATGATCTCGCGCCCACTGATTGGCTTTAGACACAATCCAAGCCGGCGTGTCGCTGACACCAAGGTAGAGAATCTTGCCCTGGTCTGCTAATGCATTGAGAGACTTCATAATCTCCTCGATCGACGTGGTGAAGTCCCACCAGTGTACGTACAGAACATCAACATACGACGTTCGCAGCTTCTTCAAACTCGCTGCAAGACTGACAGCCAAAGATTTCGTATGGTTTCCAGTATAATTGCTCTGAATTGCCTTTGGGTCGGAGCCACTTCGGTAGGAACACGAGAACTGTGCATGTTATCAGCTCGCCGAGCACCCACACTCCCATTCCACCAGCATCACTGACCTTTGTGGCAAGCACCATCTGGTCCCGCACACCCCTCTGTTCCATCCACTCTCCAATCCAAGTCTCACTTTGCTCGTTCTGATAATTGTTCGCAGTATCGATAAAGTTACCGCCCTTCTCATAAAAGTAATCCAAGATTTCAAAAACCGTTTCCTTGTTGCACTCTCCCATCCAATCTTTCCACGCATCTCCGAAGTTCATGGCGCCGAGGCATAATGGGCTTACGCGGACTCCTGCTCTTGGGGCAAGGACGCGGTGATAGTCAAGGAGACCTTTTGGCTTAGGAGGACCTTGGAAGGCCATTTTGATCGTGTAAGTGTAGAACGTAGCTGACAGTGACGGCTTGAGACAGGGCAGATACCTCGCAGTGGAATATGACTTGCGACTTCGACCTATCCACGTTCACTCCCACACTTCCCCGCCAAATCACAACAAGGATTCAAAGCGCTTTTTGTACGAAACAGTCCTTGCGCCGGGCTGACCTCTTCCCGCCCTTCGTTTGATCGCACATACCGTCTTTGAAATCTTTCTACGTATTGTTGTCGGTGTCGACCGAGATTTTTCAAAGAAAGCATGACATGACGTCTGGGTTGATGCGAGATCGGCGGATTGTACAGGACAAAGGAAATGGAATCCCAAACTAAACAACATGACGTGCGCACTCTTGCTAACGTCTTGATCTAAGAGCTGTGCTAAGATCTATAGGGCCATACGGAGTGCTTGACGATATTCCACAAGTGCTGGGTCTGGAAGCGATCGCACCGATTTTCCGTGGCAAGGCTGAGCTAACCCGAATTCGCTCTATCGGGGCCAAAGCACAAGTGTTGTGTGCTGCGCGAATGAGACTACTGATGACATATCAGTCACTGCATCAACCTGGTTGGAAATTCTGCTAAGTCAGAGCTACTATGTCAAGAGATGCTGATACAACACAGCAAGATGAGACCGTACGGTAAGTGGAAGGAGCGAAGGAGCGAGACGCGCAACATCACGCCCAATCAGGCTTCGGAGGGCCCCTACTTCTTCTTATGCTTCTTCTACGACCAGTGACGAAAACATAGGCATGAGATCCTTCTGACATCGGATGATACATGAGGTGGATGAAGTAGGCGACTGCGATCTTTAGGCTGTTTGGTCGGTATTTGCAAGCTACTTCCTCCCCTTGATAAGATCCGCCGCTTTCTCAGCTACCATCACAACTGGCGCACAAGGATGGCAAGCCACGGGTTTCGGGAAAATACTCGCATCAACTACTCTCAGACCATCCACACCGTGTACACGCAACTCAGCATCAACCACAGCGGTCTCGTCCGTAACAAGGCCCATCTTATTCGTACAGAATGGATGATAAATCGTCTCGCCGCTATTTCTCACAGCCTCGAGAAGCTGGTCATCCGTCATCGTCGCCACATCTTGTGAAGGGAAGTACCATTCTGAAAAGGCCTGCTGAAATGGTGCAGAGTGCACGACATCTCGAGCGAGACGCATCCCATAGACCATCATGTCTCGATCGTGTTGGGTTGCAAGATAATTTGCGTCAATCAATGGGGCGTCAAAGGGCGAGGATGAGGCGAGATAAATCGTGCCACGAGATTCTGGACGCAGCATGATGGGTCCAATGGAAAAGTACTCCTTAGTGCTTGGTGCAAGGATTTTACCATGAGCGATGTATGCGAGAGGACCGACTAGAAGCTCGAGATCTGGTGCATTGGGACCGCTGGCCAAGTCATTCTTACGCAGGCTCTCGGGCGCATCAGGTCGATCAGCAACGCGAACGAAGCAGCCTGCTTCACCGACATTGCTCGTCATAGGCCCGGTACCGAATCGCATCCACTCGATCAGGGCGGGCAGACTTTTGAGAGGGTCCACGAGGTACTGGTAAGATTTCTGCTTCGATTCGAAAACCATGATGCCGCAAAAATGGTCTGCAAGGTTCTCGCCGACACCCATCAAAGTCTTGATTGTTGGAATCCCGTGTTTTCTCAGCTCAGCAGCTGGACCGATGCCTGATAACTTTAGGATCTGCGGAGATTGGACCGCGCCAGCAGAGAGGATGACTTCCTTCTTAGCCTTGACAACGTAGCGTACTGGACTGATCTTCGTCGAGCCCATCTCGACACCGACTGCACGAGGCTTCGCATTGGAAGTGTCGAAAAGGATTTTGGTCACAGTCTGGCCAGTAGCGATTCTCAAATTCGGTCGGCTTGCCACATCTTTCGTCAAGTATGCGACTGCGGTAGAGGATCTTTGGCCCTTCGAGTCGATGAATGTCTGGAACTGGGAGGCGCCGATCATGCCTTTGGGAGTATTGAAATCGCGAATATTCGGAATACCGATAGATTCGCAGGCGTCTAGAAACACCTTGCAAAGCGGAGCAAAAACGGTGTACCCAGTCTGCCATGGACCACTACGACCATGCTCAGCTAGATCCTGGGAGGTGAGCGCGGAATGAGGACCATGCTGGAAGGCCTCTGCCTTCTTAGCATATTTCGACACGCTGTTCCATCCCCATCCAGCATTCCCAAGGCTTTCCCACTCGTCATAATCTTCGGCTGCGCCTTTGTTGTAGATCATAGCATTGATGGCACTACAGCCACCAAGCATTTTGCCACGAGGCCAGAAGAGCTTCCTGTCATTGCAGCCCTTGTCCTTCTCTGTGTAGAAGTTCCAGTCAGCTAAGGTCCCGAGCAGACGTCCAAATCCAGCTGGAATCCTAGAGAAGATCTGCTTCAGGTCTGAATGGCCTGCTTCGATGACGAGGACAGTAGTGTTAGGATCTTCTGAGAGACGATTGGCCAAGACGCATCCAGCTGTACCGCCGCCGATGATCACATAGTCATACTCGCGAGCATTCTGTAAGTCTTTGGTCGACGCTTCGCCTTTGTTCGGTCGAATGGTAGCCAGCAATGCTGTGTTCGGTTCGCCAGGAACGAAACTCAATGCGTGTTAGTATTTATGAGTATTCCATTTGCATAGGATTGACACACTTCGGGAACAATGCGTGCGACAGTTCTCTGAGCAACTTTCCAACAATCCACAGCGCGAAGACTCCACCAGCGATACCCACAGCTAACTGCCTATACGTAGCATTCTCGAGGCCGTGCCTCACGCTTGCAAATGAGGCCATCGTGGAGGGATGGGAACTCCCTGCCGATGCTGAGGCTAGGGCAGTGGATCAAACATATTTCCAGCTTTCGTGAGACCTTGGATGGTACTTATTGGATGTATATGTATGCAGCAGCATGTGAAGCGCCTCGGCACCCCTCTTCGGCTGCTTCTCCACTACTGCCAGATGTTTACGTGCAGGATGCTTTGCGGATAGGTCTCGATATGCTTGGAAGATGCATCGGCCACCAAATAGAAATCGGACAGGGCCCAGAAGAGTGGTCCACTGGGCCAGCTGGAGGCATAGGCATAGGCACATGCATGGGAGAGAAAGAAAGACTCGCGGCGAGGCGAGTTCATTATTTTCACCAGCCACCATGATGAAGTCATTCCCATTCCCTTTCCTATGTAGGTAGCTGCTTATATCACCTGCTCTTTGACGCTTTCACAGGCTCCACCACTTCAATATGATGGAGAGATGCGAAACTGAACGATTCCACAATGCTCACCCTTCGACCGAGAGTCGGCTCATGCAAAGGGTAGAATGATAGTCTGGTACCGGCAGGACCTTGCCGCTGCCACGTCAATGATTCATGAAAGAGCCAGAGCAGTCGCAGACACAGCAGGCATCCGCATTGAGTTGACGTGAAGACCGTTCGTATTTCGCTACACCTAGTCGAATCTTGTCTCCTACATCTGGTTGGCAGCCTGGGAGGGAAGGCATATCCCTTCACGTCCACCAGCGCGACCGTCCTACGCCTACGCTACGCCTGCTGAATGCATCGACGCCCGACCGAGTCACTTTCACGCTCACTCACTCACTCGCCCACGTCCAAGCCACGCCGCAGCCTGTCGTAAGGCGTAATTGCTGTATTGTAAGCTTCACAGCCAGTGCCAGCCCGCCAGCCCGCCAGGACAGCTTACATCGAGCCTGCAACCATGTCAAGCTCAACTACAGCTGCCAATCAAGATCAGTATACGCAGTTCATCCGTGAGAGCATCTCAGAGCCGCCTCCTGCCATCAACGCCAGGTTCTTCTATACAAGTCCCATACCGATTGACGATCCCCTCAGTCCACTACCTCCGCCTTCTTCATCAACGGCAACGACATATAAACAACCACCTAAGCCATTCTCCGAATACGACAATACAGCCCTTGACAAGGCATGGCACGATCTGAGAAAGAAGATCCTACAATGGAACGAGGAAAGAGGCGAGAAGGGGTCTTCGCAGGAAGGTAGCAGGGTGAGAGCACGCGCAAACTCTTCTTTGGCGAGGCATGAACGCGAACGGCGTGGCTCTGGTTCTGGCTCCGGTTCTGGCTCACGAGGTCCAGGAACACCAAAGGCAAGAGCCATTCACCATGCGAGATCAAGTCTCAGTCATGTCGAAGGTTCGCCAACAGAAGATGCAGACGTGCCTGAGATGCTACCAAGCAGTGCTACAGAGCTTTCAAGTAGTATGGAAAACACCACAACCGGTACACCCTTCGCCAGAGCTCCGTCAAGAAAGAAGCAACATCCCTCACCCCTGCAGAAATTCGATGATAGACCCGCGAGACCGCAGGTGCGGAAGCAGGATACATACCAATGGGAGGATTCTTCCCATCTTGCTGGGCAGAGCCCTGCACCAGCGAAGCGCAAGCAGGCAGACAAGAGCCCAATGTCAAAAGTTGCGGTGGGCATTTCGAGACTGCACCAGGTGGAAATGCCGAATCTGCAGATGACACCAATCTACTGGGCGCCTGTCCACGATACGGCAGAGGTCATTAGGGCAACATGGTTCTACAAGGACACCATGCTACCGGTGGAAGTGCCTGTAGCAAATATGCTGGAAGCCGGCTACATCGATTTGCAGTGTTGGACCGAGACATGGAAGGACGAGCTGAATAGTGCCGTTGAAGTCGGAGCTATTGGGGAAATGAAGATTGTGCACAAGCTTTGGCCCGAGAAGCCTTCCAAAGCTCCTGTCAGTAGACCTGCGTCTATCATTTCTGGCCAGGACCGAAGCATTCTCGGAGCTGCGACTTCTGTTCTCACCTCCACAGAACCGCCTGAGACGATTGAACAGCAGCGTGCAAAAGCTGTCGAGGTAGCATGCGATATCATTGATATCTCGACCGGTCCTGGTGGGGCAGACAATCGAGCGCACGGGAATACCACGTACGGCAGAGCAGGTGCTGTTCGAAACTACGCGACATGTGGCGTCATCTACTCGGATGAGCGCGAGGCGAACATACTGAAGCCGACACTGCTTCCTTCATCTTATTACGGCAGACGTCCTCTTGCAAATTATATTCGCAAAGGACACGCCATCGGCATTCCTGTTATTCGTGGGTTTGATCAAAGCATTTGGAACAAGCTTCATCCTCCCAAAAAGGGAGCCAGAACGACCAAAGCCAAGCAGGGCGTAACAGCATCGGAGACCGCAGCAGATTCGACGTCCGCAAGGCCCAAGGCAGATCCCGATCTTGCCTGGAGCGAGCGTCCACATGTCACGGATTTGGTCCTGGTCGTACATGGCATTGGCCAGAAGCTGAGTGAGCGCATGGAAAGTTTCCATTTTACACACGCCATCAATGCCTTCAGGCGTGAAATCATGGTCGAGTGCGGCAACATAGAGGTGAAGACACATTTTCGCAAAGACATGGGCGGGATCATGACGCTGCCTATTAACTGGCGTCATACTCTCTCCTTCGAGGAGGGTGGATACCGGCCAGACCAGAGCTCAGAAGCACCAGCAGACCCTACTATTAATGAATTCACCCTGCGAGACATCACACCTGACACGCTACCATCTGTCAGAGGTATAGTGTCAGATGTCATGCTGGACATACCTTACTATATGTCGCATCATCAGCCGAAGATGATTGCCGCAGTAATCAAAGAGGCGAATCGCGTCTACAAGCTGTGGTGTCAGAACAATCCAGGATTCGCGCAACACGGAAAAGTTCATATCATCGCACACTCGCTGGGAAGTGTTATGGCCATCGATATTCTATCAAAGCAGCCAACGATCGTGCCATCTCATCTGGCCGACCCGACTAAACTCGATCTTGATGTCGAAGAACCAGATCACTTTCTCTTCGACACACACAACCTCTTCCTTGCTGGTAGCCCAGCAGGCTTCTTCGTTCTTCTTCGCCGCTCCCAGCTTCGTCCGCGCATCGACCACCCTTCAGCCGAAGCCCTCGCTGACCCAACCAGCAACACTGCCCGCATTTGCGGAGAACGAGGCCAGTACGGCTGCATATCCGTCGACAACATCTACAACATCATTAATGGTTACGATCCTGTGGCATACCAGGTGAACGCTGCGGTCGACGCAGACTACGCCTCGTCCATCCGCAAAGCCCACGTGCCTAGCAACACGCCCAGCTACTGGTTTCCTGCCGGCACTTCAAACGCAAGTCGTTGGTTCGGGGGCTATAGCGTCCATCCCCCTCCTGGTGCTGCCGTATCACCAGCCTTCAATCGTCTGCCGAGCAATGTCGAACTCGAGATACATGACTTCACGCGAGAAGAAATCGCGGAGAAACGTATGACGCTGCTAAATGACAACGGACAAATTGACTATTTCGTCAAATACGGTGGCGGCACATTTGAGATTCAATACTTGACTATGTTGGGTGCTCATAGCGCATATTGGGGGTTGAAAGATTTTATACGCATGGTTGTTGTCGAGGTAGGCAGGAAGGGCGGTAAGGATGGGACTTTACCTGGTTTACGAGCTGTCAAGAAGAGAACTCCAAGAGGAATGGGAGGAGCAGCAACTGTAAAATGAGAGGATTGAACTCGCACTAGACTTTCAGATACCCCTACATTAAGCATGTACTTCATCACCGATCAATCACAATCCCATGCGAACACTCGACCGATCCACAACCTGCGCACTCCCACCACTCATCATCACCCCCCTCCCAAACCACTCTCCAATGACCCCAAACCTTCCACCTTCACCTGGATTTTGCTGCTGCAAACTCGTCGTGAAAAGTTCATGTCGACTAGCACTCTCCTCTTGCGCCTGTCTCGTCTGCCTCACGATCCGATTCTGCGGCGCACAAATCGGACACTCCAAATCCAAATCATCCTTCACATCTATCCCATCTTCAATGATATTCAAACATCCTTGATGGAACGAATGCTTGCAAAGGAAGTGAACAGTCGGGAGATCGAGAGTGCGACCACAACTCGAACATCTCGTTGCGGAGAAAGAGGTAGGTTTGGTTTCGAGTTCGGAAATCTCGGATTGTTTGTGTAGAGTGTCTTTTCGATAGGATTGGATGAGTTTTCGATTCGATTCGATTTCGGATCTTTCGCGTTGGACTGTGCTTGAGAGGTAGCGTTTTACGAGACCCATTGTTGCTACGGAGTTTGTGGATAGTGTTTGGATGACTTGGAGGGGGGCCATGAGGTTGTCTTGGTCGATTTTTTGGAGGATGGAGTCGATTTCTTCTTCGCCGGCTTCTGAGAGGACTTGGGGTGATGAGGTGAAGTAGGCTAGGGCTGCTGGGTAGAGTTGGGGCTCTTCCGGGCCGTACTTTTTCAGGGCTTTGAGAGCGCCTTGTGTGTCGTGTGCGGCGGTGTAGGAGCGGAATACGTCGAAGCGGAGGCCTTGTTTTTCGCTGACGAGGATTGTGCCGTCACGGAACTTTTCGAGGTCGGAGAGGAGGAGGATGTTGGATGTGTCGACTGGACCGTCTCGTCCTTCGATGAGCTTCTTCGCGCTCTTCTCCCAATGCTGCTTCTCGTCGTCTTTTGTGGTGGTAGCTTTATGAAGGTACATCTCGAAGAGTGTGGTGTGTAGGTCCGCGCGGTGTTCTTCACTGACCCCCGGACTAGCAATGCATGCTTCAAGGAAAGTGATAAATTGATCAGGATGGTCAATGAAAGCGGAGAACGCAACCCGTGGCTTAGGCACATCGTATGGAATGAATTCGCCCTCGGTAATTGTCTCCACCACTTGGGCTTGATTGATGGTTGTCTGGTTCTCGGTCTTTGGAGTCTGTATCGCACTTGTGTTCATGTACGGAAGAGGTATCAGTGCTGCTAGATTCTGCGCCGCTGATGTTGCCATGGTGCCAAAGCCGCCGCCATGCTTGTCGGCGGGCGCTTCTTGGATGATTACTGCATCCTTCTTCGGCTTGAAATTTCCTGTGAAGTACTCAATGAACAGCTGCGTGGCTTCAGCAGGACAGTGTTCTAGAAGCACAGTGCCGTACTTCATGAAGATTGGGTAGCTCTCTTCCGGCTCAAGCCTCACGATATATGCTAAAGCTTCCGCGTACTTCTTGAGGTCCTCGATCAAGATGTCAACCACAAGGCCGTGTTCGTTGTGTCGTCTGGCGAGGAAAGCTGCTTGATCGTAGTAACCGCCTTGCCGACACATAATGATGGCAGTGTCAAGATCAAACTTCAGCTCTCCCGGTCGCTTGATGAACTCCTCCAGCTTGTCGACATCTTTCAGCTTAGCATAGCAATTTAGCAGAAGCGTCGTATGATCAGAGGTGGCCTTGTTGTGCTCGTGAAGCTCCTCGAGGTAGTCAATGAGATTTCGTATTCGTTGGTTGTCCAAGAATTTGCGAATGATTTGTGAAGGTTCCGTATTGTCGATTGCTTGCAAATACTGTTGCATGGCCGTGTCGTAGTCGCCTCGTTGGTACAAATGATCGCCATATTTACGGAAGATGACGTTCTGCTGTACAGCATCTACCCGGTATTTATTCGACAGCGAGATGGCCAAAGTGTACTCTGTTCGCTGATAGAGTTGTTCCAGCTTCTGCTGGAATGTCTTCTCGTGATATCGATACAGCTTTCCGTCGATGGTAAGCAGGAAGATGTCGCCCCATGCCGAGAAGATTTTGTTGACCTGACTCGTTACAGAGTCTGAATATGCGATGAACTTTGGGTATGGACTCAGAATGGTAATGGTGCTTGCGTTGAAGATCTCGTCAGCTCTCGTGCTGCGAAAAGCGCCAAGCCCAGTAGCACGCCCGATGTTGCTGGCAGGAGGTGAAATGAAAAGATAGTAGTCGCCATGCACGCCTACAAGCTTTTTACCTCCCGCGAACATGTAAGATTGTGCCTTCGCTTTGGGCCCATATGTGTAGATAGCGTCATCTCTACCGATCACGATCTCATTAGACTGAGGATCAAGAGTCATGCAGCCGACTGCACAGCCATGCTCGTCCAGCGTCCGCGCTGGTGAACCTTGCGCTTTCCCAGAAATTGCAAGAGCCAATATTCGGGATGTTGTGGCGATGTAGAGAGCTGTCGTAGCAGCCTCGCGGAATTGCAAACCAGTGATGGGCTCCTCCGATTCAAATACCGTGCGTTGCTTGGTGCCTCGATCGTGAATCAGGTCTCCTCGGACGACAGTCACAGCGCCATTTGCAAAACCAACAGCGAGTTGTGCCAAATCGCTAGTCACCGCGAATGCGCTGATGGGAAAGTTCTTGCGTCCGTTCTGGACAGTCAAGGTGCAGAGACATCTCGGATTGCCGGTTCTTTTGTCGTTCTGGTCGAGAGTCCAGACCTTCAGTTCAGGTTCATGTTGCAGAGTCTCGGCAAGCGTCAACAGATAAGCGCTATCCTGAACTTGCTCGATGTGCGTGACGCTGCCGGCATCATGTGCTTTCCATGCTCGAGTTGATTTGAATGTTTGATCGAGGAGATGAACAAATCCATGCGGAGTGCCAATGAGTATGTTGTTCGCGCCAGAGCTCACAGTGCCGATGCTTGCTTGCTGTGAAGGTCAGTACGTTCTCGACGCGCTCCTAGTGCGCTGCCTACATCAAGTGCTACCGAGCCATCTCCATCTGGGAGCCGGACTTGGGAGACCTGGAAGAACTTGAACTGCTTCCACTGTAAACATAATTAGTTTGCCATCGAAGATTGTAGTGGATCTCGCATACCGCAGTCGGCGCCGAGAAAGCCATGCTACCGACCCATATCAAGTCGATGTAGAAGTGGTAGAAGTAGTAGAAGTGGTAAAAGTGGTAGAAGTGGTAGAAGTGGTAGAAGTGGTAGAAGTGGTAGAAGTGGTAGAAGTGGTAGAAGTGGTAGAAGTGAGAGAGAGCCGGTCCTGTGAAGTGCTGCACAGCCTTTGGTGGTCAGTGCTTGGTGTGATGCACCCTTCAAGCAAGCAAGGTTCGCGTCCGCCTCGAAGTCCCACACCCGACCTCGATTGCATTCCTTATTCCGTGCTACAACATCGCCTGCTTCACACAGTCACGATGGAGGACGACGAGGATGATTTCTACGGCGGTGGGGGGAACGGCGTCAAGCAAGAGAGACACGCGGATGCAGACGAGAAAGAAGAGCAGATGGATGTATCCGAAGATGGATCCGAGGACGACGATAGCGACGATGTACGTATTCTTATGTTTCTTGCTTCATTGCGGCGGAGTACTGATCGCGTGCTCATCAGGATGTTCAATTCACGTTAGAGAAGCCAGAAGGCGCCAAAGCAGAGCCACCGTATGTCCTCAAGACACGCCGCTGGCCTTCTCCCACTAACCCTTTGTCAGGCCAGGTTCGAAAGCAGCGCGACAACAGGCGAAGATTGCAGCCTCGGCGGTCAGGGACGAGAAAGCGAAGAGTGGCACACCAGCCATCAAGTCAGAGGCACAGCGAGCAGGCTCGGCAGCACCTCCCACTGCCGTCAAAGGCACACTGACACATAATGGCAAGGAAGGGAAAGACTTCCCCGAGATCCGCACAAGCAAGCTTGATGTGAACGCAATACCAACGTGGCCAGCGAACGGTAAACCGATCACAGAGCTCGATATCGACGCCGATCTCGCCGAACACTCCAAGCCTTGGAGATTGCCAGGTACCGACCAGACCGACTTTTTCAACTACGGGTTCGATGAGTACACATGGACGCAGTATACCATCAGGCAACAGAGTATGTCGGACACGATCAACCAGCAGAAGCAGGAGGATGCCCAGATGAAAGCTCTGTTCGGTAACGCTGGTGGTGATGGGCAGGCAGGAGGCATGGGTGCAATGGGAGGAATGCCTCAGGGCATGCAGCCCGACCCTCAGATGGCGAAGATGGCACAGGACATGGGAATTCCCCTTGAGTTCTTCATGCAGATGATGCAGCAGAATGGCGGCATGCCAGGCATGGGCATGGGCATGGGAGGACAACAAGGGCAATTCAATCAGCCAGGCGGAGACTTTGGCGCGGGTCAGAATAGTGTCAGCCCGCAGCCACAGGCAGGTCAAGGCTTCCAACCACCATCAGGGCCAAGCGGCGGCGGCCAGCAAGGCCAGCAAGGCGGTTTCAACATGGAAGGATTCAGTCCACAGCAAATTGCCATCATGCAGCAAGAACAGCAGGGTGGACATATGGGTGGTGGCGGTGGAGGAGGGCGCGGGGGGCGACGCCGAGGACGTTGGTGATCTATCTTGATGGCCACACGAGAACACGAAGTGCAGCTGCGCGTTACCGGGATTCTCAGCACTTGTTGTTGTTGCTTCTTCTGCGGCAACCGCGTGACTCAATTGTCAAGCGCATCCTGGGTTGCTTCAGACGCGTTCTCATTGTTGGCTTCACTTTTGACAATGATGCATTGAGAAACATTACATTGACAATGCCAGGCAGCAAACCCACCAGTATTATTTTTGAGATACAGCAAGGGCATCATCGATAGTGACCATCGATTACACGTTCGACGAACGTCACTGGAGTCATGGCCGAGCGAGATCAACGTAGTAAGAGATTCGGCACGCCTTACGAGCGGCGCGTCGCTGGAGGCGAACGCATAGCTCTTGGAGATATTACAGAGGGAAGTTTAGAGGAAGTCAGGCTCCGCGAAGAGAATGCTGCCAATATCGAGGCTGGCAATGCAAATAGCGAGGATGTGGAGGCAAACGACAACAATGCAGACGAGAGCGACGCAGAACAGCCTGTACCTACCGCTACCGCTACCATTGCAGCGAACGAGCACCGGCCAACGACGCCGCGCACGATTGGTGCGCTTCCACATCGTCCCTTACCGAGGCGCACTTCGAATCCCGCGAGCATTACGGGCACACCAAACCGCACGGCGACAGCGCCAGGGTCGGCTACTAAACGAACGCCCACTGGGCCATCACCTCTTCTTCGTCAGGCGTTAACAGCAGCCTCTGCGCCGCCCGCTAGCACCTCCAGTCAGACGCTCTTCGACAGCCTTTCTGCCCAGCTGTCAAATCCCATTGGCTTAGGTCGACCGCAAAGTACGAACGCTCCCATCAACTTCGCGAACCCCTTCACATCCAGCGCACGCAGACCCCGATCTCACTCTACGTTCGCCAGCGCAGGTCATCAAACTACCTTTAGTGCTGGCCGCAATCGCAGACTCGATGGTACGGCAGAGGAGAACACATCTCCCACTGCTCATCTCAGAGGACAAGGTACTCAAAATAAGCGTCGTCGGACCCAGTCTTCCCCAATGTCTCCTGGCAGGCAAGCCATGCAGCAGGAAGTCGACGAGGGCGAAGAAGACTTTCAGGAAAATGAGAGTATGGAGAACTGGAGGCAGAAGCGGAAGGATCGAGTGCGCAGAGAGGACGAGAGCGAGGACGATGTGGACGATGAGGACGATGAGAACGATGAGAACGACGAGAACGTGGATAGTGCAATGAGTTGACCGAGTGCATTAGGCTGGCTTGCAACCTGATATGCCAAGAAGCGATTTTGCATTGGTGAGCCGGGATGTGGATACTGCATTTCAATGCTCTTAGAAATTAGATACTTGAGTATGCAATCTCATACTAAATCCCTCCCTGGGAACGTTTCAACGACCTCGTCAGCGGGTGAAGAATCTCTGCGATATAGCTTTCTCACTATGCGTTGTGTCTTTTTTTTTGGGAGATATGAAGATGTATTACCTGATCAAGAGCACATGAAAGCTGTGATGGCGTTGCCGGATCAATAATGGAGCGGAATTCGGCAAGCGCGTCAAGACCTCGGGCAAGCACGGGACCATAATGAAAAGGCCATTTCTTGTGTATCATTCAAAGCCATAATATTCATCACGACCTGCGCCTTCCGCACGTATGGCAAAGGCCTGGTATATCTACACTCGGAAAACTTTCTATAACTCTTGCAATGCCATTGCGTTCATTGTGGCGCCCAACTCCAAGCATGCAGGGCTGAAAATGTTCAAACAGGCCGTGGGCTGAGACCACGATACCACAAATCCCAGAAACGCCGATGAGCGAATGTTTAGCCCACAGAGACCTCAACACGGCCCTCGTTACCTGGAGCTCCCTTGCCAAGCTCTGGGAGCAGGTAGGTGATGTCGTCCCATGGATGTCTGTACAGACCAGTGCGCAGTCTCTTCTGGTCCAAGAAATGTGCAATCAAACCAATGGAGCGACCAAGGACGAAAAGACCGTTGAGAACACCCATCTTGAAGTAGTCCTCGGCTTCTTCGGCGGAGAAGGCGCCAGAGTTTCGGAGGAGGTCGACGAAGCAGACAGCGACGCAACCATCGACGTTGAGGATAAGGTTGTCCTTCTTGGAGGTGGTGACGCTTTCGACGGCGAGGGCGTAGTCGAGGAGCTTGGTGGATGGGAAGTTCTTCTGGCAGTACTCCTTGACGAGCGTGACACGGAGATCGGGGTTGTTTCGCGATTTGACGCGGTGGCCAATACCGGGGACTGAAATCTGTCAGTGATCGAACGTGGAATTGAGGCAATCGCTACTCACTCAGCTTGTTCTCCTTTCTCATGGTGTCAACGAAGTCACGTGGAGAAAGACCCTTGTCGAAAGCCTTGGTGAACTCCTCGGCAGCGCCATCAAGAGCACCACCGAATCGGGAACCGATGGTAAGAAGACCTGCGACAAGCGAAGAGATCAGGTCCTTGCCAGCACGAGTGGTGATGATGGTGTTCATGGCACCAGACACAGCTGGACCGTGGTCGGCAGTAAGCATGAGAACCATTTCCAAGAACTTGGAGGCGTAGGTTGGCAGTCTGCGGCGGAACCACAGAAGAGACATAACACCACCGATACCAATGTCCTCCTTGAACACCTCTGTGATCGGAATACCAGCGTAGAGCAATTCTTGGCCACGGTCGTCGGAGATAGTAGAGATGAAAGCAGCTGGCTTTCGGATCATGCCGAGCTCTTGAGCCCAAGAGTAGTCCATTGGGATCTTTGGAACAGCTGGCTCTGGGGCTGGCTTGATGTTGCCATTGCTGACGAGCTTGTTGTAGACCTGGGCTAGAAGGCCTGGCAGGTCCTCGAAAGTGTCCGGAACGAAGAAACCAGCGTCGCGCATGGACTTGTTCTTGACAGCAGCAGTCTCGAGCTGCGAGTTGGCCATGGCACCTGCGTGGCCGAATTGCACCTCGGTCTTCAGCATGCTGGCAACAGTACCGATAGCCCAGGCCACGATTGGCTTGGTGATGATGCCCTGCTTCACGGCATCAATGACGCGGTATTCCTCGACACCACCGACTTCACCAAGGAGAAGCAAGATCTTGCACTCTGGGTCGGCCTGGTATCGAAGCATGTGGTCGATGAAGGTTGTGCCAGGATATCTGTCACCACCAATTGCAACGCCCTCATAGACACCATCGGTATTTTGCGAGACAATGTTGTTCAGCTCGTTGGACATGCCACCAGACTTGGAGACGTATCCAACGGAACCCTTGCGGTAGAGCTTAGAGGCAACAATGTTGTCCATCATACCACCCGTGTTACCGATCTTGAAAGCACCTGGCTTGATACCACCAACAGTGGCTGGGCCAATAATGGTGACGCCCTTCTTCTTGGCCACATGAAGGATCTCACGAGCTCGTCGCTCGGGGACACCCTCTGCGATGATAGCGATACACTTGATTTGTGGGTAGTTCATCAGCTCCATGGTGGAGCTGTACACGGATCGGGAGGAGGCGAAGTTCACGACGGTGTCGACATCACTGTGCTTGGCCATGGCATTCTCTGGGTTCTGGTAGACTGGGAGAAGCGTCTCAGATGTACCCCAGTACCTGCGGTATATCAGGCAACGAGCTTGGAAAAGCAACATCATTGTACTCACATCTTGCTCACGAACTGGCCACCGAATGTGTAGATGATGCCAGCGACTGAAGGAGTCTTGCGCTTGCAGATGAAGTCGAAGTCGAGCATACCCTGCACAGCCTTCGTTTGCATACCGCTGGATGCGTTTTAGCATTTCTGCGCTGCTGTGTGCTTTGTGGTGGTGTGAGCACTTACTAGACGAAACATCTTGTCTTTGGGTGGAAAAGTGTGTGGACGGGTGTAGGGCTCAAAGGCCTGCTTGGCGCTGCGAATCGTTGGATGTTGTCATTTGCAGAGAGGCCCTCGCTCTGCTTGTGTCCATTGACACCATTTGCGGTGCCGTTTGGCTGTGCCATGGTGTAGATTTCTCAGATGAAGCGGGAGATCTGGAGAAGTGGTAGAAAGTCAGCTCGGTTCTGGGCGATCTTCTTTGTTTTGCTCGGTTCTTTCGACAGCACAATCGCAGGATTACTTTGCATGTGTGGTCATCGAGCTGAAGTGAGCGCCGTGCTGACAGGATGGCGCTCGGGCTGTACAAAGCTCCTCCAAGCGGGCCACGCGGGATTCTTTGGCGGCGGCAACTTTTTTGAGGCCGTGGAATGCGGGTGTTTCAAGGGTGGTGGAGGAGAACTTACGGCTTGAAACACTGTATGCTTCAGCACCGCACAGTGTAGAGAGGTGGTAATAAGGAAGGGAAAGGTGGAGGTGGAGGGAGGAATGGCAATGCTGAACTGATGAGCTGGAAAATCGGAATGGACGTGATATCGTTCAGTCGCGGCTGACGCTCATCGAGCTGCAGGTGGAAGTGATCCCTGCGACGCTAAGCGGAGTCAACCTGATGCTCTGCAACGGTCGGGACTCGGGAGTGGTCAAGGGGGATGCGCGGGCGTGCAAAGGACTCCGAGGACCTCACGATGAGCTATATCGGTGGGCTGAAGAAGAAAACGTTGGTCCCCGGGGCAGCTGCCAATGCCGGCCCCTGCCATGCACGTATTGCGCTGAAAGCGAGAACGATGCGATGCGATGCGTGCAAATTGTTTGGGTATCGAACCACACGCAGCCTGCAGGTATGTGAGAGGAATGGCGGCTAGGGTTGATGCCAATAGATGACAGTCATTTAAGCTAAGCCTAATCCGGATATTTTATGCACCTGTAGGAAGTCCTGTAATAGCAGCTACTGTAAGTGAATGTATAGGGGCGATATTTTAGGGACCCTAAGGGTTAGGCGCTATCTCGGCGTTCTGCCCCTATACTTTACTAAATTAATATACACTATATAGCGATACAAATGTATTGATTCTTATACTAAAAAAATCGCAGTATCGAGTTCTATAATTCTAAAATTAGCCGCAATATATTATAATAGAATATAGTAATAAAATATCGTATTGTTTAGTAGTAACTAATTAGCTTTATACTACTAAGCCTGCCTCGGTAAAGCCCGCCTCGGTAAAGCCTATCTAACCTCCGAAGCTCCGCTAAGAGGACGGAATTAGGAAAGCTAATAGCCCTCTATACGCATAACATACTAACTATACTATATATAGATATACTAAATAGCGCAAATAAAAGGTCTTAATGTATATAATAAGCGTATAAAGTATAAAGATAAAGTATAATAAAATAGTAGTAGTGCAATGCCCTAAATATATACTAAAAAGCCCGCTTCCTAAATCCGTATTCTAACTAAACCCTAACTCGCGAGTATACTTAATCGACCGAGATACGTCGATTAGATATACTTTTAACTATTAATAGGTGTTTCTCGGCTTCTAATTAGCTAGTTAGATTATAGCTGTAATCGACATACGCTCGTTAGATAGTAGGTTCTCGTTTAGCTATTTATATAGACCGATAGTAACGAGTGCTTCTTCGAGCGCTTTAATAGCCTCTTCTAGTATCTCTTCCTTATATAGGTAGTATAGTACACGCTTATTAATATAGATATACTATAGCTTGTTCACTTTAGCGGATACTAGTCGGTTACGGGTGTCCGTATAAATAAGATTTAGTACCGAGAATAAGCGCTCGGAAGGCACTAAAGACGCTACTATACGAGCGAGGCGGATAGCTATTAGTGCGAGTATTGTAGCCTTACTCTAAATGAATTGCTAGAAGGTTGCTAGATCGTTTATATATATCTAGCACTTAGCATCCTTATAGAAGGGCCCTTCGCGGTTATAGAAGGCATTAAACTCGCTTATAGCTCGCTAGAGCCTGCCCTCTTACACCCTACGTTAAATGAACTTATATAGGGTAATACGCTATTATAACTCGGTCTAGTATAGAATAGGGTCCTTCGTAACCGATAAGCCTAGATCTAGTAGATAAGCAACAACGTAACAGTTAGCAACCTACTAGTTAATCCGTGCCTTTAGTTTAGTCTCTAAGTAGAAGAAGTGCTCCTTTATAAAGTTACTAGCTTTAGTAGCGGCCTTCTAGGCGGCCTTAATCTTCTGCTAGTAAGGAATAATATACCGAATAAAGCACTAGTTAGACTCGGCTATTTTAATACACTCGCTAACCGGTTAAATAACCTCTTTAACTATATTAAGCTTAGTCTAGAAGCTTGGATTCTATATAATATCTCTAACCTTCTTTATTAGCTTGCTAGTCTTATCCTTCTTACCCCTAATAGTAGAAGGGTTGAAATTTATAAGGGCAGGCTTAGCCTTACGGACGCTCTTTAATAAGGCTAGTTAAGTGCCCTAACGAGTAATTACTAATAAGACAAAGGCGACTGTCTTGCTAATAGTCTCTCGTATATACTAGCAAAGAACACTAAGCTATAGAGGCGACCGTAAGAAGGCAGATATAATAAGCTACGCTATGCTAAGGACCTTCGTAAAGAAGGGGATTCTCTCGAAGATATCTTTAAGGGATAACTAGAGAGAGTATACTTAATAAGGCACGTAGAATAGGTATAAATACGGCTCGTACGTAGCAATATTGCTCTAAGTTGCCCGTATTGTCGTATAGGTGTCCGTTATAATAGCATTTAGTCGCTTATAGAAGTCCGGATAGCGTAGCTTAATCTTGTCTACTTATCGCCTAAACTAGTAAGCGCACTATATTATAGTAAGGTTATCGTTCCTAATAACCTTCGAGGATAAGAAGAAGGCGCTATAATATAGTACGTAAGTACAGAGGTTAATAACACGTTCTTTGTTAACGTTAGCGCTCTTATTAAAGATAAGATTAATATATCGCTAGTTAAAGATAATCGGGTCTACCTTTAACTATATATCCTTATAAACCTTATTTAAAAGGTAGTCTATAACGTTCTATCTGCTAGGTACGGTATAGGTGTTGTTAAGTAAGTTAAAGGCGTCCTTAAACTATAGTAAATTGAATACTCTAAAGGATAGGCTGCTTATAATAATGCCCTTCGAGAACTTCCGTTATATAAGCTTTATACCTTCTAGACCGATTGCTAGTATTTAAATCTCGCGTTGCTTAATCCGCTGCTTAATCTTATAGTAGTTAAGGCTAAGACTAAGCAGATAGGCCTTATAGACCTCTAGGTAGTATTACTAACGTATTGTATACGCTGCCCTCTCTTTCCTATAGTAGTTATAGCGGCTCTATTCGGTGTTCTTACTAGTAGGCTTCTAGTGCTTAAAATAGACCGAAACATCGAGGTTTTCGGGGCGTCCGCGCTTAAGGGAGGAAGATATAATATAATAGAGTAGATTGCGCGTATAGAAGTATATATAATCGCGTTATAGTAGTAGTTATAGACGCGTAGAGAGATTGGAAAGGAATCGTAGAAGTTGGGTTAGGAATGCTTAGTTATATTTCCTACAGTTATTTATACATCACGTAATGAATAAATGACATGTCATAATATGGAATGCCGTCATTTAATCATCCCTAATGGCGGCGGCAGACACGCGAGCACGCATGTCGTTCTCGCTTTGCACTCACCGCCCGACTATTATCCCGCCTTTTTGCTGTGTTTACTTTGCGGGGATGCGTCGTGTGGCAGTTTCTGCCAGAGCGACTGCTATTGTAGTCTGCTATGTATCTGGAGAATGGTGGGGTCCGCCATGGCAATGCTGCTGAGACAGATCCATCCTCGCCCAACCAAGGTCCAATATTGGTAGAGAGCGTTTTGTAGGGGATACGGAGCCAGCGTACGTACGTCACTGCACCAGGCACGAGAAGACGAAAAAGTGTGAGTGAGCTGCGGCTGGGGTTGCAGAGTCGATCGCCGACGGGAAGTTTGAGCTGCGACCCGCTACAAGGCGACAAGGCGCCGCGGTTTAGCGCGTTCATCGTCCAGGAGTGCTTCAACCATCACTCGGCGTCGGCGTCAATAATGCGATGATGAAGCTCTGCGTGTCCTTCCGAAACACTTTGTGCCTCTGTTCCTGACGCTTTCGTTTCATTGCCTCCCTGCCCCCTCTCACAACCACGACTCTTGCTACACCTTCAGCGACAGCATCCTGCTTGACGAGAATAATCTGAGTGCTACACAGCCCAGCTCAGCCTCGAGGTGAGTAGTCAGCGATCGCGGAATACTTTTGGCACCGCGTCCCTGGCGGCGGGCAGTTTTGCGGCAATCCGTGCTGCGTGCTCCGGGCATTTGGTCTGGTGCGTGAGACAGGAAGACATCCCACTACTATCACGACATGGACATTTCCACTGGCTTGAGCAGAAAGTGCGACTGGCCGCCCGAATCCAACTTCCGGCGCATCTCGCAGGAACTGCTTGACAAAGCTGCTCCTCCTGCAAAGCTCTGCCTTCGTTCCATTGTTCAGCCCGGAGCTCAGCTTTCTCTCCGCCGTCAGGATCGCCCGCAGCCGCCTGAATCAGCGTTCCTGTTTCTCGCACTGCTGTTTCTGCAACTTCTGCTGACCAAAATTCTCCCAAACAGTTTCTGAAGAGCAATTGACACTTTCACACCACAATGGCCGCCAAGTCAATTCTGGAGGCAGATGGCAAGGCCATTCTGAACTACCACCTTACTCGCGCCCCTGTCATCAAGCCAACTCCTCTACCACCCCAGTCAACGCACAACCCTCCAGCCAAGCTTGCCACCATCACTTTTCAGGACGGCGACGACATTCAGGGCGTACTCGACGCTACCGAGGCCAAATATCCATTTCTCCTTGTCCCAGGCTCGAAATTCGTCGCAAAGCCAGATCAGCTCATCAAGCGAAGAGGCAAGTCTGGTCTTTTGAAGCTGAACGCGACATGGCAGGAGGCGAGAGATTGGATCGCCTCGCGCGCAAACAAGCTGCAAAAGGTCGAGCACGTTGAGGGTTACCTGAGAAACTTCCTCGTCGAGCCTTTCGTGCCACATCCTCAGGAGACTGAGTACTACATCAACATCAACTCTGTCCGTGAGGTAAGCGAGAACCATCGATCGAACTGCAGCGACTTGATCCGATCTAACTAAATTTGCCAGGGTGACTGGATTCTCTTCTACCACGAGGGCGGCGTCGACGTTGGTGATGTTGACGAGAAGGCTGAGAAGCTTCTTATCCCTGTCGACCTTGCACAGTACCCGAGCAACGAGGAGATTGCACGCGGCCTGCTCTCGAAGGTGCCCAAGGGTGTGCATCCAGTGCTGATCGACTTCATCTCTCGTCTGTACGCCGTCTACGTCGACTGCCAGTTCACCTACCTCGAAATCAACCCGCTCGTCGTCATTCCGAACGCACAAGGTACCTCCGCCGACGTACACTTCCTCGATCTTGCCGCCAAGATTGACCAGACTGCCGAGTTCGAATGCGGTGTGAAGTGGGCTATTGCCCGAGCTCCAGCAGCTCTGGGCATGCCCAACGCTGCATCCGCTGGTTCCAAGGTCACCATCGACGCCGGCCCACCACTCGAGTTCCCAGCTCCTTTCGGTCGTGAGATGAGCAAGGAGGAGGCATACATTGCAGAGATGGACGCAAAGACTGGTGCTTCGCTCAAGCTCACAATCCTTAACGCAACTGGACGTGTGTGGACATTGGTTGCTGGTGGTGGTGCTTCCGTCGTCTACGCCGATGCAATCGCTTCTGCAGGCTACGCCGGCGAGCTTGCCAACTACGGAGAGTACTCTGGCGCCCCAACCGAGACACAGACCTTCCACTACGCACGAACAGTCCTCGACCTCATGCTGCGAGCACCACAACATCCAGATGGCAAGGTTCTTTTCATTGGTGGTGGTATTGCAAACTTCACCAACGTAAGTGTCTCCGAGGCCGAATTCCCCGAAACAGGTCGAGTCGAGCTAACAATTTCTTTTAGGTCGCTTCCACTTTCAAGGGTGTCATCCGAGCTCTCCGCGAAGTCGCGCCTCTTCTCAACGAGCACAAGGTCCAGATTTGGGTCCGTCGTGCTGGTCCAAACTACCAGGAAGGTCTCAAGAACATCAAGGCAGTTGGCAAGGAGCTCGACCTTAGCATGCACGTTTTCGGCCCCGAAATGCATGTCTCTGGTATCGTCCCTCTCGCGCTTGTGCCCGGCAAGATGAACGACAGCATCAAGGAATTCGGCTCATAGACGCATGACTATTCGGAATGGACGAGGATACAGTCCCTCCTCGAGGTGTTCAGGAGAACTAGTCTTTGTTTGTGATCAAAAGAGCTCTTCGGCGTGGGAATTGACGAGGCATGAAGCAATGCGCCGATTGCTATGCGGCTATGATTAGCATTTGCGAGGGCGTGTATAGATAGATATGTTTGCGGATATCCAATGCTTTGAATGCTGTCCCATTGTAATCGCATAGCCCGTTTGTGATCACTTGAGTCAACTTCTGCCATTTCCTCACAACGCCTAGATGACTTCAATAGCGATCATAGCGCGCATGTCACGACGAAACAACCTTGAAGATGTAATGAGCATGGAAAGTGGTTAAAGAAGAGTGACCCAAAGTGTTTGCCGAGGTCACGTGCGATGCTGTCCGCGCTCAAGTTCTTCTCGAGCTACACTTCTTTGCATACCCACTTCTTTCCAACCTCACAACACCGCAACCATGAGCGTAAGCACTTCCATACACCCTCAACCCTCTTCTAAATATTTCTAACACAATGCGCGCACACAGTTCGTCCCCCTCAACCCACGACCCATGCTCCAAGGCCTCGTCAACAAGGAAGTCGTCGTAAAGATCAAGTGGGGACAAGAATACACCGGTCGCTTGGTTTCGGTGGACTCGTACATGAATATCCAACTCAGCGGTGCGCAAGAGTGGAAAGATGGTGTGGATAATGGGGTTTTGGGACAGGTTTTGATTCGGTAAGAAGAAGAGACAGAGAGCCGGAGAGGGAGGTTGCTAATTTGGTTTGTGAACGCGCAGGTGCAACAATGTCCTCTGGATCTCGGCGCGGAAGTCGAAGCAGGAGAATGGGGATACGGCTATGGATGGTTGAAGCCGAGGATATGGATTTTGATGTGATGTGAGAATCGGGAAGATTGGAAGAGAGGCGGCGCCTGGATCGAGCGATACTCGGGTCGTTTGCATTGCGCTGCGCAGCGCGCACTGCCTCTGGTTGCATTGTCAAGCTGGTGACGAAAAGTGCTTTGCCAAGAGCAAGGCGCTGCGGAGTTCGAGGCAGAACTTGGACATGCGCCCCGGATGACTGAATAGGTCAGTAGCACCGGCGAAATGAATTACTCGTCTTTGCTTCATGCTGAACTTCCTTTGCGACAGCTTGATCCGCGGTGCAAGGGGGTGCTACGCGAGCACATGCAGCTCACCACTGCCTGCCTCTCAAGTCATCAGCTTGATTGAGCTGGTGCACTCATGAGGCTGGATTGACGGCTGTGATACGTTTGTCTAAGCAACCGAATTCTGCATTTGATTTTGAAGAAGGACATGGCCACGCGTGGATGCGCCTTTCCTCGGAAGATGTAAGCACTTAGTGAAATCAACGAAGAACATCTGAAGTGAGAGCTCCCACTCCGATCCTGACCCAGACAGTCAGCGCCAGGCCAAAGAAGCTGGAGCAGGCTCCCGGAGTTATGTGGTGAACGAACGGTGGTCTACCTACAATCAAAGTCCATTTTGCCGTAGTTAGCAACAACTCTGTCCAATTCTACAACGATCAGGACATTATGAGCAACTTGGCCCATGGCACCACGAAGTGGTGCGTATGCGGCCAGTAGTTGCCCATGGCTGCTTGAAGTGGAATATGAGAGCAAATGAAGGCCTTCGAGAATGTCAATGGGTTCGAGAAAAACGGGGCCAGATATTCCAAGAAATTCTCAATCGATCAGTTCCAAGGTGCTAAAAGAAAGGGTATCACAAAAAGTCCACCACTCCTATATACAAGAAATCCTCTCCATATGGCACGCTTGCGCGTTTCACCCGTAGCGAACGTCCTGTTTCCATGCTTTCATCTCAATCATCAAATCATGTCTCACAAATCATAACATCATAAAAACCATCCCAACCAACATCTTCACTCATCACACCGCATTCCTCGGCTCCGTAGGTTTAACCCCATTCGGATCCAAACTCCTCCTCACACTATCCATACTCTGCCTCATCTCAGGCTGCTGCGGGACATTGAGAGTGAAAGGATTCTGTCCCGCTTCCGTGCTCTTCAATTCCCAGCTCCCGACCCTCTCATGTCCACCGTGCGGACTCGTCGGAGAAGTTTCAATCGAAGCCCCCACCACAGCTCCGCTTTTGGGAATCGTCAAATCTTGGTCCGAACGCATCTTTTGCCCTCCTTTGAATCCTCCTAGATCCGAAAACTTTCTTTTCGATATCTTGGGATTTCGGTGGAAACGAACGCCCGCGAGGAGCATGAGGAGACCGAAAATTATACCTGCGATGGCCAGGGCGATGATGGCGCCGATCACTCCGGCGAGAGCGGGTTCCATGCGATGACCGGTGTTGGTAGTAGAGATGCCGTGTCCCTCAGCCCAATCCTGTACAAGCGACTTCGTTTCATCCTTGTTCCAAGCCGCGCAGAAAAGTTTCGTGGCATTGCACAATGTGCACCAATCCCCGACGTCCACTATCAGGAAGTTGTACATTTGGTATTGGAAGTCACTCCACATCATATCCGTTTGATCGGGACCGCGGTTGAAGAGTGGGTATGCACGAAATTCTTCTCCGTCGTCGGTTCCGTTGCGGAAGTAGAAGCGCACCCAGAGGTCGGATTCGTCTGGGAAGGTCTTGGGTCCGGTGGAGTTGGTGTAGGAGAAGAGTTCGAAGACTGCGGAGGCGGCGAAGTTGGGGGTGCCGTAGAAGTTGGAGTTTAGTTCGGGGAGGCCGACGAGGGAGAAGAAGGAGAGGAAGGGGTGGTAGTCTGTGAATAAGAGGTTCAGTTTGTAGAGACCATCTTGGGAGTTTGAGATTGCGTCGGTCAAGCCGTCTATGATCCTGGCTCCGAGCATGTTGCCTGCGATGGTGGAAATGCTGCCTTGGAGGCCTGGGAGGCCTTGCTCGTTGCTGACTGGGTTGACGGCGCTGACGTTGCCGAGTTGAGCGAATTGCTGTTCGTCTGCAAGCCAGCGGAGAATGTTGAGGTAGCTGGTGTTAGTCGTGACATCGTAATATCGATCGAGAGCTATCTTAACTGTATCGTTATATGCATATTGGTATCGCAGATAGTCGTAGATGGCGTAAGCATTTGTGTAGTCCCAGTATTGCGAATCAAGGACGCCTTCAAACACGGCTGGTCCGATTGCGCTGTAGATGTTGTCAAAATCCTCCCGAGTGACACCAAAGTTCTGGGTAGTCGAGTACGCATCAGCGGCCCGATTCCATGATTCACAATTCAGGTTGCCACTTAGGTAGATATAATTGTAGTCCGATGGCCCGTTGGCATGGATCTGCGGATATTGGTATCCATCGAGAGGAGACACGATCTGCCGAGCGTCAGTGCCAAAAGACAGGCTTTGAAAGCTCCTCACTCACATATGTGCCATTGGCCAGCACATTCGTCGGACTGACCATACCAGGTGTGCTGCTATTGCTGTTGGGAGTCCATGGTGGGTACAGCCCCTGCATGAACGCCTGAGCCGTGCCCAAGTTGCACTGCTCGTCCAGAGAAACAGCGAATAGCTGCATGGGATCGAATACATCTGTGTTCAGCCCATACAAAGGTGCTCCAGCATCTTCTGCCCCATTAGAGCCCGTGCGGTTCCGATGATAGGTGGACTCGATGTATCTTTGCCGGAAGAACTGCCCAGCTTGGTGTGCTTGATTCGCGCCGACAGCAGTCAATGTCGTAGGGATGTATCCAAGAATCGCGGGCGTTCGTTCGCCGGTTCTGGTCAGAATCACACTGGACCAGACAGTATATTCGTGGTCGCCGTCGGGACTGTCCTGGGCGAAGGCGGGCGGTGTGAGCGCGAGCGCCGCGATCGATGCCGCCACGAAGGCGAACATGCTGCCAGCACTTGTTCTGGAGAGTAGGAAGGACGTGTAGTGAGCGGTATGCCTTTTGCACCACGCAGCGAGGAGGGACAATAATAATGGAAAGGACGACACGTACATACAATGCGAAGCTCTACGAGGGCCTCGTGAGCTCTTATCGCCCTATTATTATTGCCGATCATGCAAGCCATGGGCACTCTCACGACAGGACATGCAGTGTCAGTGTGTGCCTTGTCCACGCCAGATGTGGTCAAGCTGCTACTGCTTTGAGCAATCAACCCTGGGCGCAAGAAGGTGGGGTGAGGGTTGGCAGAGGATGGAATTGGATGGAGAAGCAACGGGAGATTCTTGCAGAAAGTGTCACGCTTGTCCGGCTGAGGCGGTGGCCTAATCGTAGCACTAGACGAATAGGCCGAAACCTCGCGATTTCCGGTTTCTTAGAACCTAGCGATTTCCGGTTTCTCGTGTTTCTCGATATATCGTGTTTCTCAGTATCTCGTGTTTCTCGATATCTCGCGTTTATCGTATTTCCTCTCTACGAAGCCGTAGTATAGAATATTTCGCTATAGTACCTAATTTGTATGCTATACTAAAAACAATATTATTGCCGACCTCCGCTTTTAGAACGTACGTAATTCCGTAGGATCTTTATAATACTTAATCTCCTTCTCTAAACTATATACTTAATTATTCGTTTTCTCTTACGCTAGGCGATATCGAATCTACGTTACTATTACTATACTATAGGAAAACCGAGATACTATACTATAGCAAATTCGCGCTACTATGCTATAGCAAAAACGATATAAGAAACTATACGCTATAGCAGACTAAGACTATCGCGTACTATAGTAAAATCGACGTATACTATAGTAATATCGACGTATACTATAGTAATATCGACGTATACTATAGTAAAAGCAATACTTCTAAGAATTAATATTAACGAACATCGTCCCCTTATCTAGTAGATCGTTAGTACTAAGAATCCCTATACCTATTCGATATTACGTACCCGTATTATAGAAGAAGCTAGTATTACTATCGAAGAGCGTCTATTAAAAGATCGTTACTTAGAATAGGGCATTTCTCTTATTAGTAGGCTAGTTATAGAGACGGAGAGTCTCTAGGTATATATTAAAAATAACTTCTAGCGATATTATAGCCTAGGCGATAAGAAGATAGTAGATATACTATATACTAAAGGCTTTAAAATAACGATATAGTAATACTAGCGCCTACGGTAGAGAATAGGTCTTATACGAAGGATAGCGCCTAAAAACAAAAGAGTACTTCATAAAGCAATTAAACGTATTCTTAAGACTGTAATTACTTCTAGCGTTAAGTACGATAGGGGATATCGAGCTATTACGAGATATCTACGGAGGAAGAACTATTTTATTAGTAGGTTAGTATAAACATTCTTTATTAAGTTTGCACTAGATTTAGCTATAGTATAGTGCATTAGTGCTATAGCTAAAATAGCACTAATATCGCTAGAGAGACCTAATACCTACTAGAGACAGGCCGCCTATCGATACTAGTACCTCGAAGCTAGAGCGTATCTATTTAACAAGTCGCACTTATATATCCTTTAAAAGACAATGTTCGCGATATCTAAAGGATAGGTACTAGACCTATATAGCGGCTTCCTATCTCTCCGTACGCTATCTATCTAGTATAACTATATATACGAATAGTAATACAATTTAGGCTTGAATTTTCCTATAGTACAACGTCTATATGCTATAGATAAATAAAGCCCTAGACTCTCCCTATAAGTAGTATACTAATTATATTCTAGAGACCGGATTTATAAGATCGCCCGTAGCCTCGATAAGATACCGTTTATAGCGCGCCGACTTTATAAACCGCGATTTTAGCTAGCGTATAGTTGTCGTAAAGCTATTAGTCCTAATAATGTCTAGTTAGTAGATACGTACTACAAGTTTAAGGCCTTCTTCGGTATCTAGATCTACGTTTGTATCGATGTCTTCTCCTAGATAATTATATAGTACTATATCGGCAACCTCGTAAAGACTAAGTTTTCTACTTTTAAGCAATACCTCTAGATAGTCGTTAGTCGTAGATATTAACCGAGGGTCGTCCGATCCGATATAGGTATTAGTAAGCTATCCGGCGTTTAAGGCAATTTCCTATAGTATATAATCTAGTATGCTATACGAAATACCGTAGAATCTATTCTACTACTAATATATTGCATAGAGACTCCTATAATAGCGGACGTATACCTCGAGCTACGTAAGCTCTTCGAGGGCCGAGATCTAGATTTTTCGGACTGCTTCTAGTATACGATAAGCAAAGGCAATAACACTATAGAGCACTAGAACAGTAAACTCGCAAAGCAGGCTCTAAATACCTAGAGAGATTACTTTAACAAGATTAAGGCCTAGGGACTCTATAATCCGGATCGTACCTACGATCGTATCGCTTTCCTTACCGTCTATATACCCGTTATTCGATCTATAGTTGCCGAATTTGTCGAAGACTAGAACACCTACGCTATACGATATAACGCTAATATAGAAACCTACTATACTAGAGTGCTAGAGTTGCTCTATTACTATCCGGAGATCTTTAGTAATAGTACGTAAGACTAACGCAAGCTAGTATATGCCGAGCATCTATAGATTTAAGGGTAGATAGACCGCTACGATAAATTCGATCTTAAGGCCTACCTACTACTAGTAACATTAACGTTCTATTAAGACGTCCTCGAAGCGCTTAGTTACCTACGCGAAATTCGTAGTACTAAGCGTAGTGCTACTCGCAGGTCTTAAAAGCTATATATCGAGGCATTCCTCGCCCTTCGGCGTACTATTTAAGTATATATAGCTACTAGATTAGCTCTAATACTAGACGAGTTCTAGCGGCCTTCTCGTAATAGGGCGGAATTGCAGCTATCGGATTAGTTAAAGGCTATATTTAGCGCTACTAATAAGCCGCTAGATTGATTTAAGAAGCTTTTGCTATATTCCTTCGTCGACGCCTATTATAGATTACTGCTAATTACTAGTCGAGACTAAGCCTACGTTGCAATTAATTAGCGCCCTCGTCGCTATTATATACTATCTATATAGAAGATAGAAGCATAGTATAATACCTACTCTCTTTCTCTATCCGCTCCCTCTCTCCGTCTAAGTATATTAGCGTAATCGGTAACTAAGTAAGCAATTAGCAACTAAGTAAGCAATTAGCAACTAAGTAAGTACCTAGTCCTTCGCTATATTTAATGTCTCGTATTTACTGCCTAAAATGCAGCGCCCGCTATAAGGATAGCGATAGGTTCTACTCGTATTATAGGGCAGAACTTCTAACTAAATAGTCTAATAGCGACAACGATAACGATCTAGTCGCCGCTGCTATATCTACTATTCTCTAAGGCGGTTATATATATAGGGACTTAGGCACCTTTAAGAACGTAGGTATAGCTATAGTATAGAAGAAAGCAAAAGAGAAGCCGAAGAAACGCAAGATCCTAAATGCCGCCTATAACCCTCTTTATAAAGATATACTAAGAGGTATAGGTATACTAAAGAAGAAGGGCAAGACGTATAAGAAGCCTATCCTCGTCGACTCGAGCTCTAGCGGCGATTCTTCTAGCAGCGAGGATAGGTTAGCTAAAGCATCTAAGGGCATAGGTACTGTAGGTAAGAATACTAAGAGTAAGAGCAAAGATAAAGCGACTAAGGACGTGCCTATTAAGGCGCTAATATAGGTTTCTTTTAAAGGCTAGATATACGATATTGTCGTCGAGGATAGAGGCTAAGACATACCGATCTAACTCCTAATATATAGCGAGGCTAACTATCTATTCGAGTTTAACTAGAGTCTACCCTTAAATATATTTCTAGTAGAATTTAAGGCAGTAGACGATCGTCCGGACTAGTTCTAGCGCCGGCTAGTATATAAGGATTATCGAGTAGTAGAAGTCCTCTCTCTAGACTATTAGGAATACTATCTTACTCGCAGGCTTAGAAAGAACAAGGAGCTAGTACGTATTAAGCTGTCTGTCCTAGAATATAGCAACTTCCGGGATCTGTTCTAGTTGTTCTCTACTAAGTAGACCCCTAAGCGTACGACATTTGATATTAATCTATATAGGTTAACGTATACGAACGCCGAACGAAACACTAATCGACTATCTAATCTATATAAAGAAGAGCAGAAGAAGCTTGCAACTTCTAAGCTAGCGGAGCGCGATCTATCGCTAGTATCGAGCCTAAAGAGCCTGTCTAAGTTCTTCGGAGGTTATAACAATACCGACGACCCTTAACCGTAGTACCCTCCTTTGCTATCGCTATAGCAGTTTAAGATACTACCGCCTATCTAACTACCTACTAGTATAATAGATAAGGAATATTAAACTAGACCGCCTATAGTAGACTTTATAGACTTTATAGACTTTATAGACGACGACGAATAAGAAGAACTCTAGAAAGCTATCGACGAGAGCTAACTAACGATATAGTAGGAGGCTACAAATCGGATAGGAATTGGCCCTTTACGCTATCTACTAGCTATAAGTCGTCCGTTAAAACGCCTAGCAAGTTAGGAACTCCTACTACGTTAATATAGCTAGAACGAAGAAGTAATCGTAGTTAGCGACGATAATATATCTCCGGATAAGCGTATAGTACGTAGATAGGCGACAAGTAGTAACTCTATAGAAGCCGCTAATAGTTATATACCGAAGAAAACGCCTATCTTCTAGCTATTAAAGCCTCGTAAGGATTAGTTATAGTCTAAGCAATAGTCGACAAAGCAATAGTCGATATAGGCTATAGAATAGGATATAGAATATATAGGTAGTACCTTACTATCTCTATCGTCTGTTCTAGATAATACCTGCTATATCTGTTTTAACTTGTTTAACCTTAGCAGACGCCGGCGTATTCGTATAGCGTGCCCTAAAGCCGTATACTATTTCTACGAGAACTGTATTACTAGGTTACGAAATAACGGCGATCTATGTCTACTCTATCGCGTAC